GCTCGTCCACCCACGTAAGCAATAAAAAATAATAATAATAACATCTCGAGAGGCTTGGTCTCAGCAAAAAGTCGGTGGTGGTATAAATACAAAATGCAGTCTTGCTCGACAATACCCGTATAGTTCGCCGGTTTCTCTCCCAAATAGTCCCTAACGCTCCGGCCGATTGTTGCCCACCTCGCCGGAGTGTGTCCTGCCATGCCGACTTCCCAGGCGAGGCAGTGTTTAATACATAATAATAATAATAATAATAATACCAGCAATAAGATTTACTAACAGAACTTTGCTGTGTTTATTATTTCTAGTAAAATCCAAAAGAAATTTCCGCAACACGTTTTAATACCGGCGTTTTAGTCTTTCCAAAACTTATTCGTCATAAAGTCTGTAGATTTTGATGCAATATCAATTTCCTGCTGAACACATCATCCAATATTCATTTTCTATTTACTTTTCAGTGCTCAATTAGGAGCGCTGTTAATCCGGAAAATTCGGGAACGATTTATTGCCAGTATTTTGCTATTTCTTATAAATTTATAATATTACTCTGTAGATTCTTGGTTGTTGTTTTTTTGGCTCTGGCTCGCGCATTTTTGTGGATAACGTTATTAGTTGTTTGTTATGCCAACGTTAATCTCGTTTAGCGTTTTTTTATTATTTCCAAATAATTATTTACATTCTCTCTAGTTTTCCAATTTTTTATACAACAAAATTTTCTCTTTGTCACGTACTAGTAATGAGAATTTTTCAATCCAACTTCAATGACAATTGGTTGTGTTCACGAAAATGTCTGTTTAACAAGAAACCGTATTCACAAAAGAATTTTTTTTTCCAAACAAAATTAATTTTGCGGTGACAACAACTTTGTAATAATTTTCAACATGGTTCAGTTGACTAGGAGCTAGCTACGTATGTATGAGGCCCGCTACAGAAATAACGTGAGCTGACGTCACTCGACGAATCACTGTCAAGGACGAAGCCGACGCGCGAAATACACCGTTACTCCATACAGATTATCGGGTTTTTGTCTTCTTAATTCCACCGTTCATATGTTTTGTATTTTTTTTTATATATATTAAGCTATTATGTAGACGGCATATCAACGAGGAATAGAGGCATATCAAAAAAAAATTCGAACGGGATGTTGATTTGAAAATAGAATGACGGAAGTGATTTAAGTACACAATGTTTTCGTGATTTTCTGTCTTGTTCTGTTGTTTACGGTAAGTTTAACGAACTTAAAAGAACAAAGCTATATATGAGTCGTCTATTATCAAAGGTGGCAATCTGTGCATTTGGACAAAAAAATGTTATTGATATGTCAATACATATTGATTTGAATATAATCGTCTCCTTCAAAGAATACGGTTCAAAACCTGCATTAAATAAAGGTTAATACTTAACCTGTTATTTATCTAAGATGTCGTTCAGAAGAGTTTTGTGACTGCCAATGGAATACAAAGTCAATAATTCGTTTTTCTGATTTACCAATAATTGTCCAAAAGTCACATTGCTGGCTTTGATAATAGTCGACTNGAATATAATCGTCTCCTTCAAAGAATACGGTTCAAAACCTGCATTAAATAAAGGTTAATACTTAACCTGTTATTTATCTAAGATGTCGTTCAGAAGAGTTTTGTGACTGCCAATGGAATACAAAGTCAATAATTCGTTTTTCTGATTTACCAATAATTGTCCAAAAGTCACATTGCTGGCTTTGATAATAGTCGACTCATATACGCACACATAAAACTATATACCTATAAATACGGGTAAGGGATACCATACAGAACCGATTTTGATGTAGGCCTTACTTTGTCTCCGATGACCAGAACCACAAGTTTATATTTATAGAAAATGATTACACAACAGATGACTCAATCGATGATTTGATTAAATGTATTCCCGTCAAAAGAAGCTTTGTTTTGTCAAAATAAGCGTTTTACGTGCGACGCAGTTTCTGAAATAAAATACCAATTCAATGATAATGGATTTCGTGATATAATGAATGCAGATTAGACATTGACACAATCTAGCATCGATATCGGAGTATCTATATATTAATACGTGAAGCTAAAACTTTGTATCCCTTTTTACGAAAATTGCGCGGACGGAGGAGTATGAAATTTTTCACACTTATAAGAGAATATAGAGAAGAAGTGCACAATGCTAATTTTTTTTTTAAATAATGCATAAAAGATACATTATATCAATAAAAGAAAACATTACCCACACTACCATGTATTTGACACACACACGCATGCATACTATTTGTTTATTGTCAAACTTTTCTTTGCAGTCTGTCAGTTATAGTCTGTCAAATTGAGAATAGATTAAATATTGTTTTCTCTATATTAATATTTATCTAAAGTGTAGTCTTGACGAAATCTGTGATTAAAGAAGTATAATAGTCCTTGACAATAGAATCATAATAGTGTACAAACTTTTAATTTCCATTAGTTATAGTCGAATACGACTACCAAGGGACCTCTAGTATATTATTAAAACCCATTGCTACACACAAACAATATCACTTTGGCTTTCACTAATCTATTTTATTGCAAGTGTAAATAATAAATTAATCATAATCACATATGATTATTCACCTGCTCTTTTTTCAGAAGTGCACAATGCATTATCTATAACATATATTAATACGTGAAGCAATAACTTTGTACCCCATATAGAGTCTATAGAGGAGTGCAGAATGCAATTTTTTTTTTTAAATTATACTTAAAAAATACATTAGATCAATTTAAAAAAAACATACATACACTACCATATATTTGACACACACACGCATATATGCTTTTTTGTTCATTGTTAAAGTCTGTGGTCAAATTGAGAATAAACTAATATTTTTTTTTTTATAACAACTAAGAGGCAAACGAGCAAGACGGGTCACCTGATGGTAAGTGATTCACCGCCGCCCACGGTCACCAGCGTTTACGCCAGCGCCAGTGCGTTGCCTACCCTTCAGATAAGAATATGCTCTTTTCTTGAATAACCCAATGTCGCAGTTGTTGGGGAAGACCGCTGATGGCAACGAATTCCAGAGATTTACTGTGCGTGGCAAAAACTGTTTTTAAAACGCATTGTACGAGGGCTGCACTAAAAGTATCGGGAATGGAATATTTCCACTGTTCCTGTCATTTAAAATCTTTTTAATTGAAAACTCCTTGGTTTTAAAAATCGAATACAATTTATTTATTTCAAAAAAGATTCTCGGTCTTGTCACGAGGTTTTGTCAAACTTGTTTAGTCGTTGAGAAAATGGAATTGATTCGAGAAAATTCAAGAGCGATGATTTATTATGACTTTCGAAGTGGTTTAAAACAAAAACAGTGTGTTGACCGGATGATTTCTGCATTTGGTGATGAAGCCCCATCCAAAACCACAATTTATCGCTGGTTTGCTGAGTTTCAACGTGGACGTGTCAAGCTCAGTGATGATCCCCGTCAAGGTCGTCCAAAAACTGCAGTCACCCAAGAAAACGTTGATGCTGTGCGTAAGCTGATTGAGGAAGATCGACATGTGACATACCGCGAAATTCAGGCAACTTTAGACATTGGCATGAGTCAAATACAAATAATCTTGCATGAACAATTAGGTGTAAAAAAGTTGTTTTCCCGATGGATACCGCATTCGCTCTGTGAAGAGCAAAAAGCGGCTCGCGTTACTTGGTGCGTCAGAACTCTCGAAAGATTCCACGCAGGATCCTCAAATGCTGTATACAACATTGTATCAGGTGACGAATCCTGGATATACGCGTACGAACCCGAAACAAAAAACCAGTCACGAGTTTGGGTGTTCGAAAATGAGTTAAAGCCAACAAAAATTGTTCGTTCACGAAGTGTTGCAAAAAAAATGGTGGCCACGTTTGTCTGCAAAACCGGCCATGTTACGACTATTCCTCTTGAGGGACAAATAACGGTTAATGCAGAATGGTATGCTAGCATTTGTTTGCCACAGGTTGTTTCTGAACTCCGTAAAGAGAACTGCAACCGCCGCATTATCCTCCATCACGACAATGCGAGTTCTCACACCGCGCACAGAACAAAAGAGTTTTTAGAGCAAGAAAACATAGAATTATTAGACCATCCGCCGTACAGCCCCGACCTAAGCCCTAATTATTTCTATTCTTTCCCTAAAATAAAGAATAAATTGCGTGGACAGAGATTTTCATCACCTGAAGAAGATGTGGACGCCTACAAAACGGCCATTTTGGAGACTCCAACTTCCGAATGGAATGGTTGCTTCAATGATTGGTTCCATCGTATAGAAAAATGTGTCAAATTTCGCGGAGAATACTTCGAAAAGCAATAAATACATTTTTAAATAGTAATGTTGTGTCACTTCGTTAATTCCCGAAATTTTCAGTGCCGCCTATGTATAAAAATGTTCAAGGGCATCCTCAACGTTTTTTTTTTATTGCCCCTGTAGGCAGACGAGCATACGGCCCACCTGATGGTGAGGGGTTACCATCGCTCATGAACTTCAGTAATGCCAGAGGCAGAGCCAAGCCGCTGCCTAAAATTAATAATAATAGGTTAAGTAGTGTAATTGTTTAATTGTATATTGTGAATAAAATTATTTCCTTACATTATAAATTACATTAGTTTTCATTGTCGTCTTGTTTTGTACTATAGTTGTAAGGAACTTGGTGTAAAACTCAGGACATTGTCTTGTTTAGTTGTGCGCACATGGCGTATGTTGCAAACCAGATTTTTACTTGTGTTTTTTATCTTTTTAGCTTGTGATAGTGTGCCTAATAAATAAATAAATAAAACATATATTACAGTTTTTTCCACGTGAAATATTTGGACTTTTTTCTGTCATATTTCATGAATTAAGTATATTACAAGTAGTGTTACTACATGTTTATCCAACAGCGCCCTTTTTTTTTTTAAAGAAAGTGTGGCCTGGTAATGACGCCTTTAAGCCGAACACTCCTCGAGAATTTCTCAACTAGAAAAATAATTGCCATAATTAAAACTAACTCACTTGTTGTTGTGGATTCGATGCGGACACCGGCTCGTGATCATCTGCAGTTTGTCCTGTTGACATGAAAAAGCATTATTATTAGAGGGAGAGGCAAAACAAAATAAGCAATCGGTTTGACCATTACCAAAACTTCTGTGTATGTTCCTAAAGGTAACAAATATATAGCTTTAATCAGTTTAAATACACTTTTTATTGATTTGGCTGTACATTTGTGTGATTTGAAAGATATTCCAGTCGTTGTATTATGTAATGAAGACTTCTGACTAGAGGGATATAAAGAAACGTTGAATGTTTGAAGTATGTATGTAGAATTGTGATCGTGCCACATAAAATAAAACTATTTCACTGTTCTAGTCTTCTGTTATGGTACTTAAAAATTATCTGACACTTTTTTTACGCCTTGCTCATTCAACCGTCTTCACCATCTTCCTTTTCTCTGTCATTCTCTTTTCCCATTCTGACCCCTTTCTCTCACTCACATCTTAATGCTCAATTTCACACTCCATTCTTACCAATCCTACATGTACGTTAATTATAAGTCAAAAATATAAATAATTTGCAGCGTTTCCTAGCAGTACCCCACCGCTACCTTTTTTATGGCGTAAATGCGCCACCCACCTGGAGATATAAGTTCTAAGGTCTCAGTATAGTTACAACGGCTGCCCCACCCTTCAAGCCGAAACGCATTACTGTTTCACGGCAGAAATAGGCGGAGTGGTAGTACCTACCCGTTCAGACTCACAAGAGATCCTACCACCAGTACCTATTCCTCACTGTGACCTGTAACTTACTGGTCAGGGGCTGCCAGGACAGCTAAATGTCACAAAACAAGCTATCGCTTGAGGAAGGTGTCTACACTAGAATGAGGGGTGAACTCAGAAAGCTAACAAAAATGGACTCCTAGAATTACAGGAGCTAAATCACATATGGGAATTCGACTGAAACCTCATTCCATAATGCACTGAGAAACAAAACAAACTAATACACCATAGTAATACCATAAGTGATAACACACAAATGTGTTTTAATAATTGAGGCAAAATTTTACACGAAATAGAAATTATGCATCTCTACTTTGTGTCACATCATAGTAACAAAACGGACATCTCGGGCAATGGTTCCCTAGACCAAACCATCTAGAATATTTCCACAGAAGATTACTGCATTACTGCAAGCAGTACAGAGGAGAAAAAAACAAAAGTCATCCAAATTTTTGCAGTTCCTATAAATCTAAGGTTAAAGCTACTGACTTATTTTGAACCCACATAAATAAGTTTCCATATGTACCAAATTTCCATCTTATTCTATCATAAAGTGCTTCCAGCTTAAACGTTAGAAATCATTACTTAATTAGGCACTTTCAGCTCATAATTGACTTTGACCTCTTTATTAATAATAGCGGCCCGCTCCGGCTCCACTCGGGTCAACAAAAATTTCAATGATACTTGACGTTGTTTTATTGTTTAAATAAAAGAACACTTATTGCGGTATAACTATAATAGTTAGACATATGCTTTCGCGACACTTTTTGTAAATAATAATGTCTTCTATAAAGTCGTAGTACATTATTTTATTCTATCATCAATAGTTTTCGCAGGGCACGCGATGTAAAGAATATTTTAGGTAATTTTTTACACCTTGGGTTATATTATTGGAGTTTTAGTAAGGATCCCTAATTTTTTCAAATAACATTATAGCCTATGTCACTCGGGAATAGTGTAGCTTCCAAACAGTGAAAGAATTTTTTACATCGGTTCAGTAGTTTTGGAGCCTATTCAATACAAACAAACAAACAAATCTTTCCCCTTTATAATATTAGTATAGAAGTATAGATATAATTAATGATCTTTAAACACCCCTAGCTACATGTGGTTTTTTAGTGTCTATATCAATACCAATAAGTTTACAGGTTTTTTCTGTCATTTTTAACTCATTTGAGTATTCTTACCTAATCTATAGCCAACTCCGGCGAAGAGGCCCCCTCGACCACGGCCTCTACTGGATGTTGGTTCGTCTTCAAAGACGACTGCTCCTCGCCTGCAAATGACAAATGCATACTGTACTTTATTGGATATCGACGCTTGTAAGGTAAACGTGACTAAGTGACAATGCGTGAACTTTACAGTAAACTAATTTAAACTTGAATTCTATTTTAACAAATCTAGCTGTAGGATTGAAATAATTTGACCTAGAAATATATTTTTTTGCGCATCAAATATGGTTATTGCTTATCATTTATGTACAAAGCAGTTATTGTCGCTTAGTCACCTTTGCCTTTCAAGAGTCAATATCATTTCTTTAATCATTCATGGAATGATCACAGCCACATAGGCTGAAGAAGACAGCACATTTTATTTCATCAATATAAAAATCCAAAACAACCGCAGTTAGAATTTTATGTTTTATTCTAAGATGAATTATTATAGATACAATTTTTTTTCCATCTATCTATTTTGTTTATATAAAATTATCACTTACTCTCTGACGCTCTTGAACATTTCAGAGACGATATCTTTCCTGCCTTTACTTGGCCCTAAGATCTGTTGCCCGGACCGCTCTGAGCCCCCAGCATAAAATGCCTGACCTGGAATAAAGTGAATATTTTTGTTAAAACGTCTTATTATAATCGACCGATGAAATTAAAACTTCCAAATTACGTTCACAAAATTTAATGGGACAAGTGGCTATATCTATAGCTTGTAAAATGACACATTGACATAAGCATCAAAACCTGAAGTAATTCAATTGCCTAAATTTGTAGAAAATAGACCATTATTGAAACTATATTGTCACAATGAACCACAAGTATTTACATGATGAGCAATTTTGCCTTTTATCCCAAACGAAAAAGTTTCAAAATCCCAAATGAAGTAAAAAATATTCTGGTAAATTTACCTTCCTCCTCATCACTTGAGCTTTCCTGCTGCAGAGATCCTATGGTCCCAAACTTTGTATTTGAGGTTTTCTTTTTTTCTTTTTTCTGGGACTTTTGTACCTGAGGTGAGACGGGTGGTGATTCCATATCGCTGTCTGGCAGAACAGAGAATGATGCCGCACTCGTTGGATTAGCTGGAGCCTCATCTGCATTACCACCGTTCTCATAGAAACTTGAAAGAGCAACCTAAAATTCAAGAATTATACATCTATTTCAAATTTAAATAAATGTTTTGCTAATATACTTTGTTGTGCACTGCTGATTTAAGTTACACTGCTAATTAATAAAATATAAACCTTATAATATAACAAATACTTAAGGGCTTAAAGCGTTTTCATTTTGCTAGCATCACAGAAAGTATCGTCCAAGATCGAAAGAAAGAAAACAGAAAGATCGTCCAAGAAAACTATTGCCTGAATCGATTGTCGCACTGCAGTACTAATATTATTTGTAATTATGAAGTATTTAAACATTCTAGGTTGGTTGTCAGTATTTAGAATTAATTATTTATTACGTTAATTATTCTTCATTATCAATATTTTAATTTATATATCACAATAACATTAATCAGAGATGCTATAAATTTATAGATAGTTTATTATTTACCGAACACACTACACTTACATCTAATTGCCAGTTTGAGGATTCTAAAAAGAATTTACTGCGATCTTCGTCAGCACCGGTAACATCACAAAACTGACGTAATGTATCTTCTCTATTCGCAGACATGGTAATTTCGAATATATATTTTGTATTAATTTATAAAACACAGTTTTGAACAGAATACTCAATTCTCTTTGTAGATTTCATTCGTTAAAATTCAATGACTTGCTTTTAGTTTTGGTTTGTCAAGAGTATCAACTGTCAAGTACGGTCTATCAGCTGTCAAGATACCTTTAAGAAATGTCATGCTATAGACAAAATTTCGCAAGGCGGTGCAAACAAAGCTAGGATGCAAGAAACTTTCGAGTCTGTTATGGGTCTATCTAAAAACCTATCCAGAAAATAACCTCCACTGCTACTGTTTACGGCTACAGTCCTGTGGTGACTAGATAGATAAGCATTCTTTAGATTGCATTTTTATGTTTAAGCATATGTCGCCCTTCAAGAATCTTAAATCATACACTACAAGATACGGTCAAATGGAAGGCTTTATTTTATAAACTTGAAATTAATTTTTTCTTTCTATAAATAGTCTTTGTTTATGATAAAATAAATAATTTAACAAGTCAATCTAAACTTCAAGAACATTATTCTAAACAATTAATCAATTATTAAACGATTTACCTAGTTTTATTGAGTCATGACTTAAAGGTCTCAGTTACCAAGTCATAAAATCCCTTAAAAAAAATTAGATCACATATCATTCATTTGAGATATTTTTGACAGTGTTTCACAGATAATTTGTGCTCCTTCTACATTCCGAATGTAACTAAACGTTGCAAATCAACACAAATACGATTTCGGAATATTATCTATGAAATCTACAATGCTGTATTGCTGTTTTAAACACCATAAACTTTAGAAAACAGTTTTAGATTGTATTATTTTTCGTAAATGAAAGTAAGTTAATTTATATTTTTGTTCTTTGTTAAATCAATATATACAAACCCAAATTAAAATAATTTTCAGCATAAAAATAGATGAAGAATCAGCGCAAATCATCCACAGGAATCATGAGGAAATATTACCAACTTATTCTCATCGTCATCTGTCTGATCAGCGTAGTAACGTTACTCATATACCGCCACGAATACTACCGGCTTCGTTATGTATTGGAAGTGCTTAATTTCTTTGGAAAACCTGGACTGTCGGAGATCGAATTTTGCGGACCCGGTTTCAACGCTACAATGCTATCAGAAATACTTAAGAACTCATCCATGGAGATAAGAGAAACGCCACCCTTGTTTCAACAAATAGATGAAAACTTTTATGCATACACATCATTCTTGAAGTCATATCAAAAATATAACAAGTTGACCCCATCCGATGTACACAATATAGATACGATAGTAATCGGTAAGGCGCAGAGTGAACCCAGTTTCCGCTGTAATATTTGGTTTGACAACAATAATAAACCCAAAGCAGGAAAATTCAGTTATAGAGCTATCACAGAACCAGTTGGTGAATTCAGAGTTTATGTCTTCCAGTGTTCACTTAACAAGAATTTGGGTAAACCTAAAGGAGTAAGTTTTTATGTAAATGATTACAATATTAATCCCATACATGCACCGATTAATAGACTTATTGCGGTTAATACAAAAAGGAAAGTTAGGGAAAGTAGTAGTGTAAAGTTTGTCAATAATATTGTACCAGCAATTTGTGTTATACCCAACCAAGTACCAATGGTCACGAGGGACAATTTTATTGAATTTTTAGTTTTCCATCACATGATGGGATTTGATTATTTCACTATTTATGATAGTATGATCTCGGAGGATATAATTAGGAGATTGAACTTGATACCTTCAGATATAACTCAGTGGAAAATACAATTTTTCCCTCTGAATTTTCCGTTTGTTTTTGCAAAATCATATGAAGTAGTACGAAGTGCTATAGAATTAGATTGCTTGTTCAGACACTTTAGACTAGACAAAGAAGATTTAGGGAAAGTTAGTCATGTCGTAACATTATCTTGGGACGAGTTTTTGGTTCCTAGAGTTTATAGTAATGTGAAGGCAATTATTGACGACCTAGACCCAACCAGAAAAGTACACAGTTTTGAAGTTAAACCATTACTGTTCTGTCTGAATCAAAATGACGATGATAACACAAATATTGCCTATCCGGATATAATGAAGAAAACACACTACTATATAATTCCAAATCAACAGATAAAATCTCTGCATATGCGAAATTTGGATGCGATGAAAACATTTGATGACATTTTAAATTTGAATTCTAGTAGAATAATACCGTTGGAGACATTAGGTGCTCATAAGTATACTGAATGTAGGGATCCTAAAACGTACCAACCTGAATCCTACAATGAGGAACAGATGCAAGGCTTTAAACACAGAATGGAGGGAGCTATGCTTAGTTTTGCTGAAAGTTTAAACAGTAACAAGATGTACAGACTGTATAGAGCGGGACAAATATGGGAAAAGACACCCAGTGACGAAAAAGATTTGTAATTTGATGTTGAAATTAATGAATGGGTGATTAAAAGAAAGGAAAATCAAGTATATGTCATGTCATGTTAATTTGAACATCGTTAATTTAAGAGCTTATTTCTCTACATCTAATTACGACATTATTGTAATATTACATAGTATTAAGGCAATGATGTGCAATTTAGGTTCTTTTTTTATATCTGTAAAGTATAGAAGGTTGGTGTAAAACAAAGTGAGATTAAGTTTATTGAAATTAAAGTGTTGAAAAGAAAGTATTGTACACTTATGGTAAATAGTGAGATGACACATTTGCTTTAAATTTTGGACTGTAAAAAAATGAAATTTTAATGAGGTTTCCTCAAAATTAGTGGTAAACAAAATGTTTGACTCAAGATGTGGGATGGAGTATTTAAATAAAAATGGTTATTAATTCGGACAATCAAGAATTAAATTTTAGATGTATAAAGTTTGAACCAATACCTCCTAAATGTTAAAATTACTTTGAGTTTTGCACATGATATATTTAACTTTGTGGTAATTTAAGTAATTGTAATCACAATAACACTTATCATAGTTTTAGATAACAGATGCTTAAATGATATGATTCTAGAGGACGTACCAATACTTTGAATTGAGCAATGAGCAATTAATAAGTGATAATATAGACAAATAAATGTTTTATGTACAACATTCTTAGATATTAGGAATTTGGGACGAGAGCTGCAATGATTTGCTATTTCTTGTGCGGTAAGACCGTTTTTTGTTACACAGAGTCTGGTGGTCATTGTGTATTCAATCTCCAATGGTGCCAACCATTGTAATACTGTAGTAAAAGCGCGATATAGAATTTAACACTAAACGTACCATACAGTCAATAGACCCAATTTGAACTTTTGCATTGAAAATGCACATATCATCATATTGCTATCCACCCGCTATGGTAGAAATAGGTACCAGTAAGTGTTGGTATGATTAGTGTTAATATTTCAGTTGCACACCAAATACTAAAGAACAAATAGATCATGGCACAGAGTTCGTTTTGGCATTTACTTATTTGAGACATTAATTTTCGTGGCCGCATACCAATTGTTGCTACTGACTCGATAACATAGACACAAATAAACAAAACCGGGCGAGTTTACTCTTTAAGTGCGATTGTCTTTGAAAATAGAGTACCCATTGGGCTATACCCTTATATCTAAAAATACTGTTAGCATGTATGGACCCTTATTCATATTTGTTTAAAAACGTATGCTACCATCTATTGTCAGTAGGCACGGTACGATGTTGTGAAAGCTTATTTAATTTTGAAATATTCTGCTTATTAATAGCAGAAATAATATAACGTGTTAAATAATAAGTTACTTTACTAATATTATACATTGCTCTTTTTTTTATTGCCCTTGTAGGCAGACGAGTATACGGCCCATCTGATGGTGAGTGGTTACCGTCGCCCATGGACTTCAGCAGTGCCAGGGGCAGAGCCAAGCCGCTGCCTACCGCTCGTAGAAGAGACTTATCTCGGTTGACGACCGTGTATTGGGAGACGCACGGTGGGTAGGCTTCTCATAAGGTGGACCGATATCCTCACAAAGCGCTTGGGAATATGCTGGTTGAAGGCAGCGCAGGACTGGTCGTTGTGGAGTATTTTTGGAGATGCTTGTATACGGCAGCTAACGTTTTTGAGAGCTAAAGAGAGAAATTAATATTTTAATACTACCTTAACTATTTAGTTAATGTATTAAATCACTGCCATCTATCCCAAATTTTGGTAAACTAAATAAATAGCATTGACCGATAGAAATATATCACAAACTAAAGGCTAGACAGGGCTTGATAATTGAAAATAATACAATTGATGTTTAAATGTTAATAATAGCCTATTATTCTTCTTGAAAGAAAATCAAATTATTAAGGACTAAACTGATTCGATGGTTATTTCTCTCAATAGTACTATTCGTTATTTTACGTAAAGCCGTGTGCAGTGTGCTTAGTGCGAGTTCCTTAACTTTCTCGATAAGTAAAAAGCGTAAAAGGTAAGCCAATTTTGTATGCAGTTGGAACAGCGCCCCTAGCGGCAAACGTACGCAAACGATCCCATTCCATACAAATCGATGCCTCCAATGAACACTACGCTAACTCCAAATTCGTAGATTTACAGGAAGAGCGTTTAAATGAAAAAAGTTGATAAAATCTTTATTATTGCAGATATATTTATGGTTTTTTTTTGTGTAACTAGCTGATTTACTCTTGCTTTGAACCCCATAAATAATGATGAATTGTAATACTTTTAAAATAGTGAAGCGATTTGCGTGAAAAACGAAAATTTCAATGAGTTCGAGTAGTGTTCATTGGAGGCATCGATTACGCTATCATGAACGTTAAAAAACTCGCACTAAGCACACAGAGTGAGTGATACTTGTGAAGTATGCAACATATCTGAACTAAAAAAGTGAACGTAATTAAATTTTGATGATTTATCGATATAATTTATTACCAACTGAATTCGTAAAAGTCTTGATCAATGTTGAACGTAATCGGTGTTGTGATAATCATTTTAATATGGAGAGTAGTGCCTTGGGAATCGGACGGTGACTAGATAACGAATATTGTTGGAAATGGTTCGTGGAATCAAAAAAAGAAAATAAGGCAACTTTTTAGTTTTAGCGATAACCTAAAAGTCACACGCCAGAAATATAAAATTTTAGTACGTTCCGGAAATTTGATCGTCATTCTAGTTAGTTGTAAACTAAACCGTTACTACGCCATAGTACATGGCATGAACAATTAAATAATAATAATAAAAAATTAAATCTTTATCGATAGAACAAAACTTACGAGGCCAAAATTTCGTCTATTCAAAATTTAGTATTAATTTAGTGTCGGTTATAATTGAGGCCATCAGCGCAAAAGTGGCCTAACCCACAGTTTTTTTTATATTCAAGCTTATATGACGTATAATAGAAGTTATTTAAAATGTAATAAATTTTTGATGCAAAATCGGCCTATCAATAGTTTCACCCATAGATATCTGTGTGCTTAGTGCGAGTTTTTTAACGTTCTCGATAGCGTAAAAGTTAACCCAATTTTGTATGCGGTTGGAACAGCGCCCCTAGCGGCAAACGTACGCAAACGATCCCATTCCATACAAATATGATCTAACTTTTACGCTATCGAGAACGTTAAAAAACTCGCACTAAGCACACAGATAGCTTTGTAAACATTATTTTTGCGCGTATTGTTTTTTTGGCTATTCAAATTCAAATGAAAATTCTAACCTAATTGACTCCATACTAACTATGGTAAGTTTAGGCCACTTTTGCGCTGACGGCCTCAATTATGAATCGCATCTTGTTAAGTCTGCAGTGATAAATAAAATTAGCAGATAGTTTTTGCTTTTACGTTGCGATTTTATCTCATCTATATTTAATTTTAGAAGCACGCGTGTGTAATGAAAGTTTCTTGAAAAAATTGTTGTTTTAGCTATAGGTAAGCGTAAAAATAGTGACCCTTCGATTTTGATATCCGAGATATTAGGTTAATTTCTGTTCATTTTTGTCTAATCTTAGTTTATTGTTATTGTCTATTGAATTAACCATTTGTAATAAATAAAAAAATCAGATATTCATGTATTTTTTTATTTAATTACCGACAGAACATGAATCGTGGCCTAATTATAGGATAAAACGCTGGGTGTAAACTTGTAAAGCCGCCGTGCCATATTTGATTCACATACATCAATTACCTACGTAGCTTTTCCAATACGGTCAAAAAAGTGTCGTAAATTTCCACATTCGAGATTAAAAGGGACACGATCGTACCATGTTCTAAAAACATTCAATAGTCTTCTAAATCAGAGTTCTTTTTGGTTAAATTTAACTACCCGTTCCTGTGGTGAACGATTAGAAAAGGGATAAAATTTCGAAAACAGTACTATACCAAAAATCATCTTTTTTTACATGAGGACTCGATAAAGCTAGTGACGTCACTACGACGTCCATGATGAAGGAATAAGTCTAATAGTTATACTTAATTACGTACGTACTGCGAGGCCTGCGCGGGTAAATCCATCACCTCCACCTGTGGGTACCTACTCTATTACTACAGCGAAGCATCTTGCATTCTAGTTTAAAGGCTGGGAAATCCATCATACAATGTCCTGGTGAAACTGGAAAGGCCTCAGGGCTACCAGTAATCCTTCATTCATAAAAAAAATCAATGCAGTTGAGACTTCTACTTGTTGATTAGACTCCGGTACCCAATTAACGTCGGGTATGCAATTTACAAGTGGTAAGACTGGTGGTCTTGTGAGCCCGCACTGATACGTACCACCACCCTGCCTATTTCTGCCGTGATACAGTAATGCGTTTTGGTTTGAAGGGTGGGGCAGCCGTTGTATTGATCTGAGACTTAGAATTCGTGTCTCAAGATGGTTGACGATCTTAACGTGGTTGATGTCTTTTATGCTCCGGTGACTGCTTAACACCACATGGGCCTAGAATTCACTCATCTAAGCAAAAAAAATGAACAAAAAAAACTATGAAGGGTTGACGAATATAATTAAAATACCATAATTACGTACTAAGTAAATATTTATTTCATATATCCTAAGTACAAGGCAGGGAACTCCTGCGCGTAGTCACAGATCAATACAGAATTTAAAAAATCATACGATTAAATACATTATATGAACTATTTAAAAAAAAAAAAGACATCAACATTACAATCAAAATAATATCAATTGAATACTTAAGAATGCGATGGAATGAGCACAACATTGAGCAATACATTTCGTATTGTCGTTGCCACAAAACTAATAGAAACAATATTATTATCATGGAGGGAATCGATACTAAAGANATTACAATCAAAATAATATCAATTGAATACTTAAGAATGCGATGGAATGAGCACAACATTGAGCAATACATTTCGTATTGTCGTTGCCACAAAACTAATAGAAACAATATTATTATCATGGAGGGAATCGATACTAAAGATTGATCTCACTAAATTTAGAACACTAGAAGATTTCCATTCCAACTCACAGTATTCAATCAGCAATTCACAAATGACATATAAGTGTTGTCTAAATTGAATGAAGTCAGTCGTGAAAATTATTATAAAACATACTTAAATAAAAATTAAAGCTAAAATGTATTATTTTTTTTGTATTGCCATAAACTTGTAAGATTGTTTTAATTAGGTGCGAAACCAGATAAATTTGGGAAACAATACGAGTGAAGTGTATGAGGTGATTTATTACTGCGAAGATTTTTAATAAAGTTTCGTCACAATCACGAAACACCAAAATGACATTATCTTCTTACTTGTAATCACATAATCTTTGAAAATGAAACCTACTAACACTAGTCATACCTCATCAGTGGCTGATTGGTGAGTGTAATGTACTGGTTACAGTTCTTGACTCATCCATAAAGAAAAAGTGGCTAAATTACATGAAACTTATTTACCACTTCATTTTAAAAGTAGTGCAATAAAGAAAACCACGTCACTTTGTTTAGGGCTTGCTTTAGCAAAAAACTTGCATTCGACATCTGATTGAATTTGTTTATTATTTATATCGGTACCATAAATAACAAGGCTCATTTAGGCATAACCGACGAAAATAGCTACATAAGTAAGAAGCCCGTTACGAAAATCACAAGCCAATTAAAATGGAATGTTCTAGACTGTTGGAATTTGAGCGATCATGTTCTCCTGTCTCCTAAGGCCTGACTTGCGGGATTAATATAAAAGCTTTCGTAGCCGTGGTACCTTCCAGACTTAAGTAAAAGGACAACATGATAAGTCGAAAGATGGAACCCACGGAACGTAAATCGAAATAAAATTCGAAGGCTGATTCTGATATGGTTTTAAATATTAAGAATACCCGCGTATATAAAAAGAAATACCAACATATTACGAGTACATTGATTACATATTTATTGTCATGACATATTTTATAGCTGTACATAACGATCGTTCATTGTTCGTCGAGTACACAAATCCAGCAATAAAATTAGCCAATAGCATGCGTAGATTTAGAATGCACTCTCCGCACTATTCTTCATAGATAAGATATTTGACAGGAAACCAAACAGTTCATTAGTTATATATAATGAATCTTATAATTATAATATTCAAACATCAACTTCAGTATGGTAATGTATATAGAGTACGAAAAGGTATCCTAATAGAGAAAATAGTTTTTTTTTTTTTAATATCACTTTCTCTAAAGACTAATTAGTAAAAAGGATTACAGTAAATGCACGAAAAATAGTTACATAGTCTTATGAATTCTTTTAACAACAATATACTAAATGAGCTAAATAACAATTGTGCGCAGATATGAGATTTGCATCACTTACAAAATGTCGTCAAGATAAACAAACCGAAAGTTGTCACCGTTTTTTTATAGCTTCGAAAAATATATCTGCACACAAATCTACAGTAAATGCAAACAGCCGAACATACAAACATGTTTTAATTTAATAAGGAAATATATTTTATTAGTATATTTTACAGTTACAAGTTTCGTATGTATTTGATGAAACCCTTTCATTTAATCAAGTATTTAGAATAAACACCCGCATATTCGGCCGATGTACTAGCAATTGTGTGTTAAAAATGATAGAATTACACTTTTTGGATTTAATTTATAAGATACAATAACATAGAAAAATGACAGACATTTGCATCTTGGAAAAAAAAAAATTTGCAACAATAATTAGTTCAAAATATATAATAAAATATTAAAAATGTACTGTTTTTATTTCGAAAAATATATTTAATAATGGGACTTTTCCAAATTTAACTTTTCAAATAATTTATGCACAACGAAAAAATTACAATGAATGTACTGTCAACCATAGCTATGTTGTTGTCAGTTGCGTCACCAGGCGATCATATCTTTAAACCATTGCATATATTTTATATATTTTAATAATAATATTACATATAGTATTCATTAATGTTCATATTCATGCAATGAAATCACTAAAGCTAATCAAAATAAACTTGATGCAGATTTTAAATCCAAAAAAATGTAACCCTAATCATATCAACAATTCTACTAAATTCATCAGTTTCATAAAATTTATTCAACAATCCAACACGCAGTCGCCACTCTCAAATACAAACTTTACAAATAATGAATATAACATTCTAATACAATTTAAACATCAACATATGTACAGCAACGTCTTACATTAAGAGAAACATTAAAATTTAAAATCGTATTTATAAAATTCTTGACTTTTTTAGGTAATTTATTTTATGTAAATCCAAGGTCTCCGTGCAATTAGTAATACTGTACGTTTATTACTCAAGATTCAAGGGATCAAATGTAAGTGTAGGGTTGATTTTTTAGTATTTCTAGTAAGAGGTTCACATTTTAGGGGCACTTCAACAATTGATAGTTTTGCGTTCCAAATTTTATTGAGTTCAATTACCTATTAATTACTTGATTCCGAAATATTATTCGATGTTATTATTTTTACCAATCCAACGCACCGATTAGTTTCAATCGGATGGTACCTATCTCATAGACGTCCAGAGCGACAGGTAGGAAGTTAACATTCATTTATAACTAAATTTTTACTACCATTTAAATCTTCAAACATTTTATCAAGATTATCAATTAGTATACAGTTCGATCTACTAATAATTTATTTCTATTGAAACATCTAATTCAACAATATCTTTTATCGCCTCTATTTCAATATTATCTAGTTTAAAACATTTACTATATATATATATTCTACTCATTAAACTCTGTTCCTATCACATCGAATCACCTTTCGTTCAAAGTTTTTGAATTTTCATTCTTTACGTTTTATCTTTTACCCAGGACATTTTTTTTGTCTGTCATTAACCATCATACCAACGCGACGTAAGTAACTAGAATTTATAAGAATACTTCGGTGAATATTTTTTTTAACAACAATATTGCTAATATAAAAAGACTCATTCGGAATGGAAGTATCGATTAGAAACCACAAAGTTATCTAACAAAAACAGTAGTAGCGTTTGATTATTTAATCTAACATTATTAAATCGCCTACGTCCTATTTCAAGAAATTCTTTGATCTATCAATCAATATCTATCAACTATTAACTTTAATTTTTAATACGAATCGATGTATCGATTCTCATTATCGATTAAGATTACTTTATATATCATTTCTCACTAGACCCTCCTAAGCACGTAAAAAAAAGGAACTCATATGGAATGTGTTTAGCTGCTTAGACTGTAGCTGCCATATAAAATACTGTAATATTATAACTACGAGCTTAACCAAATAATATAATAAGAGATCCTTAAAAGAAATGCTTTTAAGCTCCCGGTGACTGTTTGTAGCCTTCACAATCGAACAACGCCTTGATTTTGTTTACAATTAAAGGATTTAGTCCGTTTTTATTTATTCCATATTTATGATTATATTGTTGTCTCTCAAGCCTGAGTTTTGACGTCAAGCGTAAGCTATATCAGTATATTTATATAGTATACAGTATAGTAACTATGTATTTTGAAAACATATCGAGCGATGAAAGACTTTGTTTAAGTGACATTTTTGCAACTTTAGAGGAGATCCAATTAAAGTTTAAAATTTTGTAAAAATATCAGAAAAATTTAGTGGAAACCGCCCTAATTAAGTTTAGTACACACAATGTTTTCTCTTTTTTTTATATTAATTATTTTGTTGGAACCGATAAAATGGTTGCTTTTCAGGATATCGAGTATCCAAACGTATTTTAAAGGCTCGATATGTTTATTTTTATTGATGCTCTGTAAGTAATTTATGTATCCGACGTATGAGTAGTTTGTGCTCATTGTTATTATTACAAACAACACGTTTTTTATTCATACGATATATTGTTTTTTTACACTTTACGACGGGCGATATTTTAAATCATAATTATTATTTTCATAGAGATCAAAATTTTCACTAAACATTTTTTCAATACTTTTAATACTTTTTTTTTTAATAGGTTTTAAAATTTGATTGTGATGTTTTAACGATTATTTACTATGATATCATAATTTAAAACTTCGAACTGTTGTTGCTAATATAAAATAATACCCAACTTTAAATACAAAAATAAATGTCGCGTATTAAGTGATATGTCGCTTAAAACAAATAGTCTTTCATCCCTCGATGTGAATCTTCATTATGTATGGAGGAATGTTTCTCATGTACGCAGTCACAATACTAGATATACTGCTTATGATAATAATATGTTTATTTGTATTTTAATTATATCAAACACACAGACCAACAGGCTAGTAATATAAATCGATCCTGAAAGGGTGAGAACGCTAATGTTTTTCAGAGGTTTCAAAAGGGCACTGCATGAAATTGCAATGGAAATACTTTATCAAAACGTATTGTTAACGTATTTTAGGAATAATTAAGATAATTAAAAAAAAAACTTATAGTAAGTCCGACTGGTGATTTTAATATTTAACACTTGATCTGTTTTTAATTTGTACGATTGCATGATTATTTAATCATTAATCCAGATATTGTAAGCGTTTCTTAATACAAGCAAAAAACCAACTGAATTGATTATAGATCAGTCTAGACTTGATTATAATATATTACCTAGAATATTGATTATGTACTCGATGTATAAAGTACAAATAAACAAACAAACATTGAAATTTAAGTGTGACGTAATCATTCGAATGTTCTACTGACGGCATTGACGATTCGCGAATCATTCGATTGGCAACATAAAAATCGATTATTGAGTCTGTTTCAAATAGCGCAAACGAACGTTTTTTCTTAAAAAAATTTATTGACCTTGTAGGCAGACGAGCGTACGGCCCACGGCGAGTGGTTATCGTCGCCCATGGACTTCAGCAATGCCAGGGGCCGAGCCGCTGCCTACCAAAATCGATCGATCGATCGATATTATCGATTTTTATCGATCGATATTAGCGTCGATATATTGAACGAATGCAGGCCGTAAACAGATGGTGGACGTTTCCGTACCAGGAGCGCAGGAGGCGGAGGGTCTATGAGAGTCGACAGTCTCAGGAGCGCGAGTGCGGCGCCGGCGGCGGGGGGGGCGGGGGTCAGAAGAAGATGACCTCTTCCTCTGCGGGGGGCGCGGTGTTACCGGACGTCGGCTCCGGCGAACGGACGCGGAATTTGTCCGGAAGCTTCGGATATGTGTTAGTCCTAGAAAGAAAACAAATAATGACATATCTGCCTTGGCGGTCTTCAGTTGCTTGGACCCAAAACAAGGCACAATTCGGACACAGACTGCTTCATTAAGCTATAGCATTCCATCTATATGGACCTAAAGCTCACTTGACTTATGGCAGATATCGTGCACACAAATTTAACTATCATAGTAACTCACAAGATCTAACTCGTAAAACGGCCTCGAAATTGGACACGTACATTATTGGTTCTTCGAGCCGAATATCACATATCCTGTTAAGCCTCTCTTTTTTTTTAAGTTCACACAACTGGATAAAATCTACACACATTAACATTGAACTTAAATAGGGAAAAATGAATACATTATTGAATTCACCCTTTTGGGTGTGAGCACAACTTACTTAAAAGCAGTTGTGATGTCGTCAGACTGACTTTTATTTATTAAATAATAAAATAACAATATAGATAGATAATAGAAGTCTCTTAACAATCTTATATCAGTCAAGTAAATTTAAGTCAGGTAAGTTTTAATCAGAAAATAGTTTTGGATAATAGAGAATTCTTTGTCAAAACATATAATCAATATTTGGTATAATTTATCTTTATTCTTGTAACATTTCATTTACATGAACAACATTTAAAAATGAAGATCTCTTTTACTATTCTTTTTTAATATTTTTGTCTGTATTTTGTTTTAGAAAATATTAATTTTTTCTGAGGTCTCCAGTTTTTGGTACGGTATGTAGTTTCGACAGTTCTAAGTATTGACATTGACATTACCTTGTGGCTCTGTTATTGGTCTGCTGCTGGGAGGGCAGCGGGGCGGGGGAGCTACCCGCCCGGGTGTGATGTATCACTAGGCCTTGCTGTTGTAGATGCTGTATAATAACCAACACATTAACTTCTATTGACCTATCGATTATGGAGGGTAGAGGTAACGATATCATTATTTATCTTAAGACATTTTTAAAGTCACAAAATTTTAATTCAAATTTCCCGATCAGTACGATTCTTGCAAGGGACTTAAATTATTACGGTACATATATTTATTATATACATATATTTATTTATTATACACTTCGATATATTTATTTATTTATACGGGCATGCTCTAACACCGAAAGCTGAACAGACGAAATGGTTGTACAAAAGTATTCACTCTACAGAAGAACGGAAAGTAAACAATAAAATAATACGATTTCGTCAATCAATTAACTCAATTATTTTTTTAAATTAATGAAATTTTTTGAAATGAATTCTAGTTGCCTTGTCTATATAATACAGTATGTTCAATTATTCCTCATGAAACTATCAGAATTATGAGTGTACAGAAGAAATATATAAATATTGGACTTTTATTCTTATGAGCATATTATTATATAGGTTTATAGCTTTAAATTCAATTTTAAAAACTTCAAATTAAATTTTGTAAATATCACATTCAATTTTATAAATATGAAATTCAAATTCTATTCCAGGTTTTTATTTATTATTCTTTTATAATTAACAAAACTAAAAACAAAAACAAAAATGAAAAAGATGCAAAAAATATGAGACTTACGCGCTGCCTACTGCGCTACCGAGGCCACAAAATATATGGCTTGAAGACATTTCATTGACATTTTTGAGTTTTGAATTTGATGTTTGCAAAATTGAATTTGATATTTATAAAATTGAATTTGAATTTTAAAAACCTATATATGCAAAAGTAACAGTTATCTTTGAGACATTATAAATACTTTCCGAATACAGAACAACAACTAGAACCATAGACCTCATTTTTTATTCCTCAACACCGCTATGGGCTTCAATTTTTAAACTTAATACAGTTAATTGATTTACAGCCAATGAAATATAATAAAAATAGTGAGCGAAGCGACGTCCATGAGTGCGTGATACATTTCACTTGCGTTTCAGATTAATGGGCGTGGCGATTTTTTATATCATAGTAAATAATCGTTAAAACATTACATTCAAATTTTAAAACCTATTTTGAAAAAAAAAATTCATTAATTTCTGTCAAAGTTTCTATTACGTATCCGAAATCGCATGTTAAAACTAAATTCAATTTATGATTTATAAACTGACCATGAAAAATGTTTAGTGAAAATTTTAATCTCTATGAAAATAATAATTATGATTTAAAATATCGCCCGTCGTAAAGTGTAAAAAACAATATATCGTATGAATAAGAAGCGTGTTTTTTGTAATAATAATAATGAGCACAAACTACTCATACGTCGGATACATAAATTACTTACAGAGCATCAATAAAAATAAACATATCGAGCCTTTAAAATACGTTTGGATACTCGATATCCTGAAAAGCAACCATTTTATCTGTTTCAACAACATAATTAATAAAAAAAAGAAAACATTGTGTGTACTAAACTTAATTAGGGCAGATTCCACTAAAATTTTCCTCTTTTTTTTCTTTTATCTATGCTGATAGCCTTGAGAGACTACTTTAATTTCAAACTAGCGTGTAGGTGAGCTCTCGGGGCTTAAACCGGAGTGTTGCTAACACTGGCCCTAGCAAGAGCAGTGCTGCGCAGAATCTACCACCGGATCGGAAACGTGACCCACTGAGAAGATCCGGCGAGAAACTCAGTGGGCTGTGTCTGTGAGTTAATTTACTCGCCGAGCCCTTTCGTCGCAAGCGACGGGTTTCGGCGAGGACCGTGACCGGTGCTTGAGGTACCTAAAAGCCCCGTCAATGGATCGGGAGGATCCTTAATGACAATTTTTCTCGGATTTCACGAGTGACACACATAAATAAAACTGATTGTCATTAGATTATATTACGACACGATAAAAAAAGACGAGAGATTCTATTTAATAATTAATTGTTTTTAAAGGTAGACTGCTTGGCTATGCTCCTGAAATTACTGACGTTCATAAGTGACTGTACCAAGTTACCATCAAGTGTGCTGTGTGCTGGTCTGTCTACAAGGGTAGTAAAAAACTAGTTTAAACCAGTTTTAATTGAAAACATGAGTGGATGAAGGGGATATGATACAATTTGTTAATTTTGAGAAAACGTGCAAAAAACTTTTGTTACTTCTTTTTTTGCAGGCAGACGAGTATACGGCCCACCTGATAGTGAGTGGTTGCCGTCGCCCATGGACCTCAGCAATGCCAGAGGCAGAGCCAAGCCGCTGCCTATCGCTACTTGTACTTTTTCATCGTACATAACTTCTTCATCACGTGCAATTTCTAAAAATAGCCTTTAAACCCGTAGATTTAAGGTCTAATATGATTTATAGGCACATAACATCTTCTTAAATCAATGTAAAAACTCAAAAGCCTTAAAAATCGTAATTAGCATCTTCATTCACTCATGTCTCCAATTGTATGAAACCCGAGGAAAATTTCATGGTCCAAACATGAACAGTCTGGGCAGAATTCGTCTCGAAAATTCTTTCCAATTTTGTATTAGCAAACTTTTTCTTTTTCTATTAACTTTTGTACCCCTTAAGCTGCTTTCAGACTACGCTATACTATAGTGTCATATAGTATAGCAGCCTATATACTTACCCAATAACATATAGTACAGTATAGTGTGAACGTGTCCATAACAATGTACGGTGCGCGATATTGTTGTACTATGAGCTATATACTATATGCTATTATATTATAGGGTAGTCTGAAAGCGGCTTGAGATACACAGGTATATAGGAAAGGTAATGCACGTTTATTAAACTTATTAAATAATTATATTTTACAGTGATGGTGGGTCGCCCCTCAACCCCCCCGGGTCCCCGCGGGTGAAGTATTCTGATAAACCGCAACAAGAGTATTAGACGCGAGATGGGTATGATTGAATGATTATTGGTGGGCCTTTCTAGTTTCACCAGGAGAGGAGGGCGAGCAAGGGCTCAGACAGGAGGGGTAGGATTTGCTAACAGCTGCCCGAGCGCCTCCGAAGGAGACCTAACAACTCAAGAGCAGCTGCGAATGAATGAATCTACTACCAGATCGGATCGTGTAGTTTCATTTATAAAGATTTAGAGTATCTTTTACTATTGATAGAACGTCATGTGAGTCCGCGCGGGTAGGTACCACCATCCTGCCTATTTCTGCCGTTAGCGGGGCAGACATTGTACTGAAAAACTGAGACTCAGAACGCATGTCTCAAAGTGGGTGGCGGTCTTTACGTTGTTAATATAAAAAAGTAAGATTACTTACGTCACTGGGGGACTCGTGGAGTCTGTGGTATCCCGGAGGCGGCTGTTTGCTTTTCTCGTTGGCCAGTTTCAATGGTAACTGTTGTTTTACCATTTGCTGTGAACGCATTCAAATTTTAATGCATTATTTGCGAATAATACACTGTTTCGCATTCGCGGGTAGTTCAAAATTTAATCTTAAAAAAAATTTAATCTAAAAAAAAACAACAACATAAGTGTATTTAGTAAAGCAAGTCGAATTACATTTGACAACGGTAACAATGAAAATGTATGAACTACTTAGCGGTCTCACCGTTTCCCGGTGGGACTGAAATGGGTTAATTTCGCGACAAAGACTTATGTAATTAACATAGCAGTATATAAAACCGGTCATTATTTTCGTCGAACCCGTCGCTTGCGACGAAGGGCTCGACGAGTAAATTAACCCATGGACACAGCCCACTGAGTTTCTCGCCGGAACTTCTCAGTGGGTCGCGTTTCCGATCCGGTGGTAGATTCCGCGAAGCACTGCTCTTGCTAGGGTTAGTGTTAGCAACGACGTCAGGTTTGAGCCCCGCGAGCTCACCTACTAGTTGAGGCTACGCTGGAATGGTTTCATATGACCATCAGATTAGGTAGGAAAAAAAAACTATACAAATACTGGCAAAATTGTATGTCGTGAGCACTCGTGAGCAAACTAGTAAAACCTACGGACTGCCGCACTAGGGACGACGGTTTAACGCAACGAATGGGTAACAAGCGATTACAATATTAATTAATTTAATGTGATTGACAATATAAGTTATCTTCTCTAAATATTGTTTTTCTAACGCGCGGACTGGTAGGTGAGCTCTCGGGGCTTAACCTGGGAACACTGGCCCTAGCAAGAGCAGTGCTTCGCAGAATCTACCACCGGATCGGAAACGCGACCCACTGAGAAGATCCGGCGAGAAACTCAGTGGGCTTTTAATTGTATGATGATTTAGATTGATTGTGTATTTTTAAATGACGATTTACGACTATCAACATTATTCTTCTTCCCTTTCTACGAAAATTGTGCGGACGGAGGAGTATGAAATTTTCCACACTTATAGAGAATATAGAGAAGCGTAGAGTGCGCAATGCTAATTTTTTTTTAAATAATGCATAAAAGATACATTAAATCAATAAAGAAAACATTACATACACTACATACCATGTATTTGACGCACACACGCATGCATAATATTTATTATCAAACTTTTGTTCTTGACGTCTGTGGTCAAATTGAGAATAGATTAAATATTGTTTGTCTTTATTAATAGTTTTTTGTAGTGTAGCCTTGGCGAAATTTGTGATTATAGAAGTATAAAATACAATCATAATAGTGTACAAACTTTTAATTCCAATTAATTGTAGTCGAATTTCGACTACTGCGGGACCTCTTAGTTATTTCAAGTTATGCGAAACATGAAGAGTTACGTTCTAAGAAGTGTCAAAAGGGACTTCGTAATTGAAACAGAGTATAGTTCCGCGCGCACTACGTGTTTAATAATATCAACATTAAATCACTAGTTAGATTTTTCAGATAGGACTTGCTTCACACATGCGATCGTTTTTAAGTTTTCTTCGGACTTTTTGGCGGGAACGCGAGGAGTGAAGCTGTATCATTTGTTTTGTCTATTTAGTGTTTCTTCAGATTTAAATGCGTTATAACAGTGGTTTATTAAATGTTTAATATCTGTGAAAGTGCACAAATGTGGGAAAATGAAACAAAGCCGCCGAACGTAGCTTGTTGGGATCCTCCAAAAAGTCCACTGAAAAAGCCTTATTTCCTCCGTTTTTATTATTCATAAACTATAAATTTATTACTTGACGCTGGCTAATGCACGAACCGTGCAGGAGCCAAAATGTAAAGAAGTTTTCTTCCTAGCCAGTCTCTAAATTACAATCGAGTCGAAAAGATTCAAGCTAATATGAGCCTTATGCAGGGCTGCCCGAGGGTCGAGTACTCACGGAGATGGCGGAGGCGTGCACCGTGGCGCGGGTCTCGTTCTGCGCCGACAGCAGCAGCGGGGGCGGCAGCGCGGGCGCCGGGGGCTCCGCGCCGGTAGAGCCGCGGCTGTCTGCACACACATACAGCACTGAAACTCCACGGAAGGAATACGATAAACATCTTGCTTTAAATACTCTTTTTTTTATTGTTAGATGGGTGGACGAACTCACGGCCCACCTGGTGTTAAGTGTTCATCAAAGCCCATAGACATCTACAACGTAATGCGCCACCCATCTTGAGACATGAGTTGTAAGGTCTCAAGTATAGTTACAACGCCCCACCCTTCAAACCGAAACGCATTACTGCTTCATGACAGAAATAGGCAGGGTGGTGGCATCTACCGTGCGGACTCACAAGACGTTACCAGCGATGGACTAACACCAGCACGTTAAACTTTAACTCGTTAAGCTTTGATTGATTTTTACCGATAATTTATTAAGATCAACTTTTCCCAACCCTCGTGTCTTGGCTGAACAATTATTTCCAATTGCAATATTATTGCACCTACTTAATCGCTGGTAGCATAAGAAGCTATTCTAGCAATAAAGACGTTCATAAAATTAACTTACTTATGTACAAATTCCTGGCAAAAACTGAACAAAGAAACCAATAGCAATACCGCTACAATGATCACTATAGAATTAAAATCGATTATTTAACTCACTATTTTAAAAAATATTAATCTTTTATATTTTTTAAATCACCAAATTAATTTATATGAAAATTTCTTCACATTTAAACTGAATACCAATTATGTTATTTGTGACCAACTTTATTGTTTGTTAAGTTTTGTAGTTAGCCTATAGTTTATTTATCCTCAAATGACGTCACACCTAATTAATATCGACTATTCTATGAACACATATCTATACTAATATATAAATCTACAGTGGTTTATACGGATGTTCCGTTATAACTACTGAACATGCATACGATTGACTTGAAACTTGGTATCCATGTAGCAAGTACATGTATTTAATGGATAGGCTAATATTTATATGAGTGTTGGACTCCTTACACCAGTTGCGGGGGCGTTAATGATGAGAATCTTTGTGGGGGTGAGAAATAATAATGTTATTATAATTTTAAATTCCCAGCGAAACGGACGGGTACAGCTACTTTGTATATGAAGTTGGGAAGGAATATAGTTGTCACACGCACTTCTCCACTTAGGTTCTTTCCTCCTGGTGGTGTCGCTGACGCTAGAGTCTGGCGACAGAGTGCCCACACTGGCTATCTCTTCTTGAGATCCACCTGAAACCATCCACCTCAGTTAATAATATCATAGATAACAAAATATTTTAAATTAGACATTAAAGTTCTGAAGATTGAAGTGTTCGAATTCTTTGTGAGGAGTTTGAAGAGTGCTTTCGTATAAGGCACTTACATAGAGCATTTCTAAAACCACTTTCTATTTACAAGGGCGGGATAATAAGTAACTAGCCTAACAATAAAACATTTAACTTTTCGTGATAAAATTAATTTTATTTTTCGACATAGTCTCCGTGAACCTCTACGCACTTATTCCATCTTCGTTCTAAAGTAGTAATGCCTTGCATAAAATGATTTCTTTCGAGGCCTGCAAAATACTCCTCTACAGCGGCTATGACTTCATCATTTGTGTTAAATTTCTGTCCGCCCAAAAAAGTTTTGAGCTTAGGGAATAAGTGGAAGTCTGATGGCGCTATATCAGGCGAATAAGGTAGGTGGGGCAGCAAATCATACTTCAATTAGTTGATTTTTGCCATAGCTTTAACACATGTGTGAACCCTAGCGTTGTCTTGGCGGAAGATAATTTTTGTTTCGCCAAATCTGGTCGTTTTTTCTGAATACACTGATGAAAATTATCTTGAAGATTAGCGTAGTATTCTCCACTAATCGTTTGACCTTTAGGAAGGTAATCTATCATCAAGATTCCATCTGCATCCCAAAAGCCGGAAGCCATCACTTTTCCAGCCGACTTTAAAGCCATGGCTTTTTTTGGAGCCGGGCTTTATGATTGCGTCCACTGTTTTGATAGAATTATTGATTCTGTCGTGTAATAACGAACCCATGTTTCATCTGTTGTTACAAATCGACGTAAAAAATCGGCATTATTACTCTGAAACGGTCCAGACATTCTTTTGTCTTTTGCACCCTTTTTCTTTTGATCATGCGTATGCAATCGGGGCACCCAACGGGTCGATGACTTTTTCATATTTAATTCCTCACTTAGGATATGATGTACCCGGTCTTTTGAGATACCTGTAGTATCAGCTGTGTCAGATAACTTCAATCGTCGATCTGTTAAAACCATATCATGTACTTTCACGACCATTTCCGGAGCCGTGATGCTTTTTAGACGTCCGGGGCGGGCTTCATCTTGGACACATGTACGACCGCGTTTAAACTCAGTCACCCAGTTTTTTACTGTGGCATAAGAAGGAGCACATTCACCCTAAGCATTATTTAACTCGTCATGAATATCTTTCCCCTTCATGCCCTTCATATGAAGAAACTTTATCACCGCTCTTTGTTCAATTTTATACATTTTGAAAACACTTGACGAAATATATTTTCAAATGACAAAAAATCAATAAAATTTTCACGCCACCAAATTCAAATTTATAACACAGGTAGCCAGAGATACGAATTTAAAAATGACATATATATTTTTTAAAGTTTAACTTTTTAAATAGTAGAGGCTAGTTACTTATCATCCCGCCCTCGTAATATAGAACATTAGCTTCCGTGTTCTAGACTCCGGTTTGAGTTGATCATATTATTTGTATAGGATGACACCAAAAATATAAATCGACTCCAATCTTTTTTTCCTATCTAAGCTGAAGGTGTAGAGTACTCTAGAGAGACTATGTCAGCGTCACTGGGTTAGTAATTGAGCGGATCGGAAACGCGACCCACTGAGAAGATCCGGCGAGAAACTCAATGGGCTGTGTCTGAGGGTTAATTTACTCGTCGAGCTTTTTACAAGCGTCGGGTTCGACGAGAACCACGACCGGTGGTCGACTCCAAGATTTAAGTTCCCTTCTAAGAATTAAACTTAATTTATTTTCATCTTCAAGATGAGATCTTGTGATCCACCTAATCTACGACCTTCATGATTTTGGCAGCCAGTGACATGACCGGTCTTCTACTGAACAATTTGTCTTTATGTCTTCGATGAAATGTTCTTTGATGATTCGAGATCTAACCCTCCCCCCCCCCCCAACCCCCCGGCGGAGTTACCGTGCTGCTGCAGCCTCTCCAGACGCCGGTACAGCCGCTCCCGCTGTTGCTCGACGTCCTTCTGTTGTTCCGCCAGCTCTTGTCTGGCCGCTTGCAGTTGTTGTCTCTCTGCAGTCATAACAGTACTCTTTAGCTACGGTTTCTAACTAATCGCAATTTTTGTAATACTTAAGTCTATTCGTGCCATTGTTACAATGGCTTAATGATATCTAAATGTAGGTGATATACAGTGTACGGGCCAGCACACACATCAAATATGATGTACTTTGTAATAACATACCGATGCATTTTACATCAAAGTTATTCATTTTCCGTTCAGTTCGTGTACCGCCATCAGCAAGGCGTCGCGTACTCGCATAATGTCATTTTTATCATATAAACAGCCACCAGTTTAGTGTAAGCATATCAGTAAACAATTACTCAATATTGGAGTTGTTATCATTATCACAACAGAGGGTTGTGTGGACAAACCGTACATACAGAGTGTTACAAAACTACCAACTATCAAAGGAGAAAAGATATTACATTGGGCCTTCTAACGAGTCCATTCACAATATTTAAGTACCGTAGTAATGTTGTATAAAATAACAAAAAAAAAAAAAATTCACTGATGTGCAAACCCTATTTCAGTGTAACTAAATAGGAAACTGCGTAGAATGTACCTACATTTCTGCGTGCTGCGTGCGCGTGTATATGTACGCGTGTTTGTACGTGCGTGCGTGTGCGTGTACGTGCATGCTTGTGTACGTGTGCGTGCGTGCGTGTACATGCGTGCGTGTACGTGTATGCGTGCGCGTGCGTGCGTGCATGCGTGTACGGGTGCGTGCGTTACCGAGCGCGATGGCGGCGTGGTCGGCGGCGCGCGTGGCCTCCCAGGCGGCGCGGTCGGCGGTGAGGCGCGCCTGCGCGTGGCGGAGCTCCTCCAGCTGCGCGTCGTGCCGCGCGCCGGCGCCGCCCCACGCGGACGTGCGCCACGCCGCCACTTGCGCCTCCAAACTATACAGTGTTAACAGATCTTATGTTAAAGTAAACGCAATCACAAAACTTGATGTAAGAAATTACAAATTAATAATATTTATCACAATAATTTTTGCCATTACAGAAAATAAAACCACTTGCATTTATCTAGAACTAGCGAACCTAGCAATCTTCGCTTCGGGAATTGTAATTTATTATTAATTTTTGAAAACGAAATTGTAGATTTTTAATGGCAGAAACTTATCGTTACATTTTGGGTAAATCACGATATCTTTTTTATAAATTATAGCCTATTTGTTATTCTGATGTATTGTAAGCTATATTATTGTAAAGTTTCATCAAAATCCATTCAATAGTTTTTGCGTGAAAGAGTAGCAAGCATAAATCTATACGTTCTTACAAATATAAAATATCGCGTTTATAATATCAGTAGTATAGGATGTTTCCTATAATTCCAATATGACAAATACAAGTAGCCAACGGTAAATCAACCCCGACCTTCTTTTTTTTTATTGCTTAGATGGGTGGACGAGCTCACAGCCCGCCTGATGTTAAGTGGTTACTGGAGCCCATAGACATCTACAACGCAAATGCGCCACCCATCTTGAGACATAAGTTCTAAGGTCTCAAGTATAGTTACCTGTGTATGGTGGTGAGGTGGTGCCACACGATGCAGGTGAGCGTGTAGATGGCGTGGTGCAGGCGCAGCACGGCGTCGGGGTCAGTGACCTGCGCCGCCTCGCCGCCCCCCTCGCCCCCCTCCGTGGGCGTGTCCGTCGACATGCGCAGGGATACGCCTACGTCACATGTATAACTTAAATTAATCTCAATTATTTAGTCATCGTAGCTTAAAGGATGAAGACGTCCGGTGTATTCGTATCTAGGGATACACCGGCGTTCGAACCCCGCAGGCGGGTACCAATTCATCCAATGAAATACGTACTCAACAAATGTTCACGATTGTCTTTTACGGTGAAGGAATAACAATATCGTGTAATAAAAATTAAACCCGCAAAATTTGTAATTTACGTAATTACTAGTGTTAGGACCTCTTGTGAGTCCGCGCGGGTAGGAACCACCACCCTGCCCAGTTTTACTGTGAAGCAGTAATGCGTTCCGGTTTGTAAAGTGGGGCAGCCGTTGTAACTATACTGAGACCTTAGAACTTGCTTACTTAGGTGGGTGGCGCATTTACGTTGTAGATGTCTATGGGCTCCGGTAACCACTTAACACCAGGTGGGCCGTGATCTCGTCTACCAAACTAAGCATTAAAAAAAATTAATAATAATAATAGTACTATGTTTACTAAAATAATTTTTTTTAAAAATTTGACTGAATTTGACTTATAAAACTGAAAATGTTATATTTGATAAGTAAATTTTATAGAGTACTATTAATTTATTATATAGTAAGTTAATATTCATATTCAAAGCTCAATTATCGTTCTAATATTTTGTAATTCAAGAGCATCAAGATGAAAACAGATTTTTAGTTAATTTGCTTTGCTTCAAGTTAATTAGCTCACGAGCAAATGGAAATAGATACAATGTAGACACATCGATCGGTCGTGTTGGCGTATAGGTTAGTAATGTTTAGCGAGAGCAGTGCACGAGACCCCTGTGCTTGGTGGCGTCGAACCCCGCGAAGGTGTCGGCGCGGCGCGGCAGCGCGGGGCTGGTGTAGGCGGCGGAGTGCCGCTCGCCCGCCGAGCTGGTGCTGCGGCCCAGGGCGCCGCCCCACGCGCACCCCGCGCTCTCCAGCGCCTCCTGTGGACACCACTATACATATCTTAATCTATTATATATATACGATCTTCTCTGGACATCAACTTCCACAATGCCCTTCCCAATCAACAAAAAGGCAATAAAAAAAGGGGGATGAAGATATATACATATATTATTATATCGACGTTTGAAAGGCAAACGTGACTAAACGCGCTTCGGTTAGTTTCTCATTGCTCCTGTAGATGGCAGAAACATCCTATATTTTATTTTTAATGAAGGATTTTGTAAATTTTCTGAAACCACAAATTGATAAAATTTAATCAATTTGTCTATAACAAATAAAGACTTGTATGATTTATTAATTTTTTATTTTGTTTTAGTTATACAATAATTAAATGCCTTAACTTTAACAACATATAAGTTTAGGGGCATCCGCTACAAGATGTCGCTAGTTTCCATACAAAAAAAACATATCTGTCTTAAAGTATCGCAGTTTCAGGGCCCTACACCTGAGCGCCCTACCACCAATCTATAAGACAGGACTGACCTTGACAACGCGACAAACTTCCTGCCATATTGTGTGCGAATCTATAGATGGCGCCACCAGCCTCACGTAGTCTGGAAACACCAAGCCCCCGGGCGATGACGTGTTTAGTCCTGAACAAAAAAATATATTTTGTCACCTTTTTAACCACATTGAGAGAATGTTATAATTCGATTCTAGACTTCGGTTTTTGTAAATCCGATAGACACAACCAACTGAGTTTCTCGCCGGATCTTCTCAGTGGGTCGCGTTTCCGATCCGGTGGTAGATTCTGCGAAGCACTGCTCTCGCTAGGGCTAGTGTTGGCAACACTCCGGTTTGAGCCCCGTGAGCTCACCTACACGTCAAGGAGAAGCTGAAATAGCCTCTCAAGGCTATCGGCATAGTTAGGGGGAATTTTTTTTGGTAAATCAGGATAGTAATTAGTGGAGAGGTCGGCACCACTCCTTCTGATGCTAGACGAATTAGCAAGAGGGTAGACAAACTTTTAAGGGCGTAGGACAAGGGGGAGATGTTCCACCGAGCGGGTGATATTGTTATATACCACTATTCGGAACTTGTATATCGAGGGGTGAAAAGCGACATTTCACTTAATACGCGACATTCATCTTCGTAATTAAAGGTGCGTTTTATTTGGTATTAACATCAACAGTTCGATGTTTTTAATTGAATTTCAATTAAGTTTATTCCGTTCGAAATAGCCGAAGAAGCTTTTCTGTGATGATATTTTTTTCCAAATCTTAGACTTTAAATCGTTCACATGTAATGTTGCAAAAATGTCGCTCAAACCAAATAACTTTTCACCCTTCGATATCTACAAAATCACCTTGAAACTATGGTTACTCTCAAATATTTTTGTAGCTACCATCATAGACTTATCTGCTTCTACCCTACGTGCGATCGCAGCACTTCCGGGTCAAGATCAGAATCTCCATAGTATTTGTAACGCCTACATATATAATATATGACCCACCGGTGTGAGGCACGTCTAGCGTGGAGGTTCCGGTGTGGCCCACCATCTTCATGTGCAGCGCCAATTTTTCTTCTAGGAGTGTCGCTAGCTCCTTGTCTTTTGTTCTTAACGCTTCTGTTAAAGGCAAATTTTGGAATTACGTCAAAAATCATGTGCATTTATGAGGTTCGCTTGTGCGAGTGAACATACCGTATTGTCTATGGAAACGTACAAGAAAATTTCGATGCAATTATTAGTTACTTTTACATGTATCTAGTTTTTTTAGGGGATTTTTTGACCTGGTAACTAAGACCTTTAAGTCATGTCTCATTTTAATTTATATTCTTATTTTTATGAAAAATGTTAATATGGAGTGAATTGAAATGAAGATGATTAATTTGAGACATTAATCAACTGGGATGAAATTAAATGAAATGACATGAGAAGATATGGGATGAAATATAATCTCAGTAAAATGGTGGTCATTTATTGAGATTTTTTCAGTGGACTTTTTGGAGGATCCCGAGAAGTTACGTCCAGCGACTTTGTTTCATTTTCCCATATTTGTGCACTTTCACAGATATTAAACATTCAATAAACCACCGTTATTACACATTTAAGTCTGAAGAAACACTAAATAGACAAAATAAAACAAATCACACAACTTCACTCCTCGCGTAAAAAGTCCTGTATTTACTATGATGCTTATAGTGATATAAATGAGATGCATACATTTTATATCCACTGCATCATTCTAATATTAAGTACGTTCACTCACACAAACACAATATTTAGATGAATCACAACGGACTTAAGACATAGAGCAAACAAAAAGGTTTCAATGAATTTTTGAATACATTTATTTATTTATTTGCCAATTTTCCGTCTTAACAGCGATACGAATAACTCAACGTACAACATCGACTATATCTCTAAAAACACCAACAAACCAACTTCTACTATTACAAAAATAATATATATTATGTATTAAATAATCAAGGGACGGGATGTTATTTTTTTTTTTTTTAAATTAAATGCGCTTGACAACTTCCAATTTTATACGCATGCGAATTTTTAGACTTTTTTTTTTAAATGTTGAAACAAAAGGAAATAAAACGAATGAACATGAAAATATTTTTCGAAAAATCACCTTCCATGTGCCACCACGGCGTCTCATCTGTTCAATAATACAAAACGTTTTATAACCATAGACAAGGAATCACATGCGGTGCCATAGACAGTAAATTTTGTGATGTCAGTAATATAGGTTACCTTTAGCTAATAATACTACTTAGCATTTCCCACATTTATATCTAAACTGTATCGATGAATTTACTAAGATCATTAAAACCCCAGATGCACTTTAACCTAACACTTTGTTCCATAACACATTTCATTAGAGTTCAACACAAAATCTGTAACAGTGATTCACCTACCCACATTAACAGAAAAAAAAAATGTTTTGTTATACGAATATTATTTAAGTATATGACTATATTAAAGTTTAGTCGAAACATACAATCAAACATCCAAATCATCTCAAGAGCTATTAAAAATTAAATATAAACATTCGAATAACCGTTTAATCAAATAATTGTTATTTTTAAACAGTGTCGGTACGGACAGACCGGATTCCGAAGCATCTAAGTGGTCACTGGAGCACACAGACACCTCCTCTAACCTACCTCGAGACATGAGGTCGATGTCTCAACTGTATTGCATTAAGTACGTCCCACCCTACATTACTGCTTCGTGGCAGAAATAGGCAGGACAATGGTACTCAATAGAGTGTACCACCACCGCGTACCAGAAAATGAGTGGTGAGCTGGTATAATTAAAATATAAATGCACAAATATTTTACATTTATAATTATAATATTCTGTTGATGTTACATTTAACATCTTAATCGCCTTTAACGATTTCAACTTTATCGGCAGGCCATTTTTATTTTACAAAATAAACAGCACTCAATCTCTTTCATATTAAGATCTAATTTAGCTTGCCTGTGATCAGTCTTATATTCTCGTGTCTGGCTTCCAGCTGGCGTTGTCTCTCCTCCGCGGAGGTGGCCAACAACCCTGCCTCGGTCTCTTCCACCTCCTCAGGGCAGTTCTGGACTGCGGCTCTGGAATATAGTCATACATACAGCATGCGCGCGAGTTCATGTCCATCGGGGCCAGAGGCGACGCGCGAGGGGCAGCTCGCCCCGCCTTCGTCCGCCTCCCCGCATTTGTCTGAAGTCGAGTGTTGTCCTTGGCGGTTGTAACGCGATTATCGATATCTTATCTTATCGAGTTATCGCTTATCGATTATCGATATCGAAAATTTACGCAAACGCTATTGTGTTATTTAACCATGACTACTCTGCTCCCCCAGGTAGAAAAAAACCTATTGAAAAAAGATACATACTGATTCCGACTCTGATCTGTCGGTTGTCTTTTCATTTGATAATTTAATCTCTATTAGAAATAAACAAGCAATTACTTATCACATTTATTTTATTTCATAAATTGCAAAATTACCTTAAGTTACATTAAACCAAATTGACAGCTGTTGACTAAATCGGTAGTTATTATCGACATTACCATAATTAACTAGGTTACAGCACTACCGCATTCCTCAGGATGAATTCGCGCGCCTACTGTACATTACGTACATACATTAAATTGAAGTCGTCGTGGCCTAAAGGATAAGTCGTCCGGTGCATTCGTATGTAGCGATGCACCGGCGTTCGGGTCCAGCAGGCGGGTACTAATTTTTCTAATGAAATACGCACTCAACAAATGTTCACGATTGACTTCCACGGTGAAGGAATTATAATTTGCGTGATTACTGGTGGTAGGAATTCTTGTGAGTCCGCGCGGGTGGGTACCACCACCCTGCCTATTTCTGGCGTGAAACAGTAATGCGTTTCAGTTTGAAGGGTGGGGCAGCCGTTAACTATACTTGAGACCTTAGAACTTATATCTCAAGGTGGGTGGCGCATTTACGTTGTGGATGTCTATGGGTTCCACCAGGTGGGCTGTGAGCTCGTCCACCCATCTAAGCAATAAATAAATAAAACATAAAGTAGACATATATGCGCATTAAATGTTGTATGTAAGATAATCGCAACCCTCATGCAATTTCGAATTTTAATCTATAAGCCATATGGTCTAATTCACCTCGAAATATGTTTTTGTTGTCAGCTTTGTTTTATAAACAGTCCTCAAGCAAATTTAAACTTGATTCGTATTAAGAAGAGGGTATAATTTACCTTATGGCCTGTATCCAAGTCTGTATATCCTTAGGCCTGTGAACTCGCAGCTCGAACATTTCTGGTTCGTTGGGGCCGCTGCAGATCAGATACAAGCCCCTGCCTTCAGCGCCCGCCTTCTCGCGGACCAGTAGCTTCACGAGAGACACGACTCCGGTCTGAAAAATAAATTACGAATCATTTAATAGTGCCCCCCAGTAGCCGAAATTCGACTATAATTAATTGAAATTATAAGTTCGAACATTAGTATGGTTCTATTGTCAAACACTATTATACTTCTATAAATCGCCAAAACCACACTATAGACAATTAATATTAAAGACAAACAATATTAACTTATTCCCAATCTGACCATGCTGATCTGAATCTGTCTCATCTGAATGCTATATGACCGCCTTATTAAAAATATTGCTTTATACGACATACCTCATAAAACGACCACATTTAACTAATATTTCGGAGAACTAGATCTGTTAGAACGACCGGCTAAGCTGTATTGTAAACAATTTGAATAGGTATGTACATTTCAATAATTCCCTATCGATTTATTTGTACTTGCACGATACACATTAAACATCACCGGTTGTTACGACTATCGGTTTTTACGACTGAATATGAGCAGTCCCTTCGATGTCGTTATAACAGATTTTGACTGTATTTGTCTAAAGTTGGCGAAATCTGTGATTATTATAGAAGTATACTACTAATTTCAATTATTTATAGTCGAATTTCGACTACCACTAGTACATATAGATGTATAACTGAGGCGTTCACGAGAACGACACCGATGCCAAATGTAATATGTATGTGAAAACGAAACAGGCCAATACGTACTTTATTGTCGGGCGTGAAGAACGTGTATTTATTGTTGTTGTCGTGCAGGAAGAACAGCACGTCGGAGAGCACGATCACCAGTAGGGTTTGCATCTTGCTGCGGCCTTGCATCAGTGTGGCCACACCTTCGAACCTGTAATTAAATACATATATTTTTGATGTGATAAATTCTTATGGGACAGTAAGACGTTTCGTTACGTAACGCGTTACGGCGCTAGTCCGTCTGCCTTCCCTTTCTCTCACGCATACGACAGCGGTAGTGAGAACGTATGTAACTCATTTATATATCTTTTTCAAATTTACAAAACTAATTTTATGGTTTGATCTCGTGTTTATTTACTAGCGGCCCGCTCCGGCTCCGCTCGGGTCTTTAACAAAAATTTCAACGATATTTGACGTTGTTTTATTTTTTTTAAATAAAAGAACACTTATTGCGACATAATTATAATAGTTAGACATATAATAATGTGTTCTACAAAGTCACAGTACATTATTATATTCTATCATCAATAGTTTTCGCAGGGCAAGCGATGTAAAGAATATTTTAGGTATTTTTTTTACACCTTGGGTTACATTATCAGAGTTTTAGTAAGCATCCCTAATATTTTTCAAAAAATATTATATCCTATGTCACTCGGGAATAGTGTAGCTTCCAAACAGTGAAAGAATTTTATAAATCGGTTCAGTAGTTTCGGAGCCTATTCAATACAAACAAACAGACAAATCTTTCCTCTTTATAATATTAAGTATAGAAGTATAGATTATAATATTACTATAATTTTTTATTTACTGTTTCCGACGTTTCGGATACTCTAAGTCTTGAGGGTCGCAGGAACTACTTATTATTGTCGGTTTCCGTTTCTTTTTATATATAACTAGCAGTACTCGCCCGCTTCGCTGGGCATTTAAAATTAACATTATTATTTATTGTCATTATTATTAGGGAGTCCAACACTCATATAAATTGGCCTATTCATTAAGTACATGTATTTTCTACATGGGTACCAAGTTTCAAGTCAATCGGATGCTTGGTTCAGTAGTTATAACGGAACATCCGTAAAAACCACTGTAGATTTATATATTAGTATAGATGTAATAATGATGTCAGATGAGGATCACAAATGGGGGCGCAGTGAACACTCGTACTAACTTCAAGCTCCTGGTGCCCTGCAGGATGTCGCTCTTCTTGAACTTCCTGCCGCGGAAGTGAGCGAAGGACTTGGCGTCGATGCGGTGGTAGATCTCGAGCTTGCGGTCCTCGCGCTCCTTCGCCGCCACCTGGTTGTCTACATCCACTAGGATCTCCTGCAGATCGTAGGTCTTATATCAGTTCGAGTTGGCTTTTTTATTTGTTTAATAAATACGGTGCGTATGTTTTTTACTATTAGGCCAGACACTTACTAGTGGTAGGACCTCTTGTGAGTCCGCTCGGGTAGGTATCACCACTCTGCCTATTTCTGCCGTGAAGCAGTAATGCGTTTCGGTTTGAAGGGTGGGGCAGCCGTTGTAACTATACTTGAGACCTTAGAACTTATATCTCAAGGTGGGTGGCGCATTTGCGTTGTAGATATCTTTGGGCTTCAGTAACCACTTAACACCAGGGGGGCTGTGAGCTCATCCACCCATCTAAGCAATAAAAAAAAGAATACTAAACCTGCACGGGTAGATACTTCTGTCATGCACATATTAACCGAGAAATACTTAGGGTGTGTTCACACAGGCCGGCTCGGAGAGGACAGGCAGATTTTTATCACGTTGGAAACGATAGTTTTGAGTAAGTTTATTTTTGCAGGTGTACTTTTTTAGCATTAAGAATGCTTGTACACGCTGCGTGTGTAATAATAAGAGGAGAATATCGGCTCCGATTGCATCCGCTTTCAGATCTCTTCCAGCCGGTCTATGTGAAATAGTTGGCGACTCCAGTCAATTCCAAGCACATACGATCCGGTCTGTGTGAAAAGAAAAAAGCGGGCCGATACTCTCCGAGCCGGTCTGTGTGAACGGACTCTAATGCGTTATATTCCTTGGTAACGATTTATACTTCACGTCTCTATTTATTGTTTATTGCTTAGATGGGTGGACAAGCTCACGGCTCACATGGTTTTAAGTGGTTACCGGAGCCCATGGACATCTACAACGTAAATTCCGCCACCCACCTTGAGATATAAGTTCTAAGGTCTCAGTTTAACGGTACAACAGGTCGGTACCAGTGCCCTCGTGCTGATTCCTGCACGTACCTTGACTCCGCAGAGCGCCTTCTGCAGCAGCTCGCGCTCGTTGACGTCATCGCCGGCCGTCTTGAGTAGAGGCTCCAGCAGCAGCGGGTACTTGGTGAGTCGCTGCGCTACGAACAGCACGCACTCGGGAACACCCTGTATATACATCTTTCATTAGCTTCATACGTATATTAGTATGTAACCTAAACTATAGACACAGCCCACTGTGTTTCTCGCCGGATCTTCTCAGACTGTCGCGTTTCCGATCCGGTGGTAGATTCTGCGAAGCACTGCTCTTGCTAGGGTCAGTGTTAGCAACACTCCCGGTTTGAGCCTGGAGAGCTCACCGACACGCTGATATAGCCTCTCAAGGCTATCAGCATAGATAGGAAAAAAAAGACAAAAGATAATATGTATTTCTTAAAGGGAATATTTGAACATGATTTTGACCCCTTCAAAATGTCGGATTAATTCAAAATTTCGCGAATTTATCAAGAAACGATGACAAATCAATATTTTAAACAGTTAGAACCGTTATTTAATTTTTTAGCTAATATTTTTATGCAAGTAGAACTATAAATTACATTGGTAATTAGGCAATTAATAATGTTCCTTTTGCGAAGCCTTTATTAGCTTAACTTGTAATGGAATCTTTCAACATAATAGTCACTAACTTCAAGGAGTACAATTAACTTGATGAAGTTGGCAAGGATCGATGATAATACAATTATTTTATTAGTACGGCTTAATAATCTAACCAGGATCAGCAGGATACAAAAAAATATAATTAAAATTGTAATCTTGATTTATTTATTTTTTTTCAAAAAAAACCGTTTTTGTTTATGGTATTGAATTTTTATTTCCATCTATTTTAAGGAAAATATAGTAAGCCACTGCTTATTGCTTGTGACCGTGAATGAAATCTATGAATAATAATTGTATAAATATATATATATATATATAAATGAAAAGACAAACTGTATTTTTATTTTTTAAATTATCCATCTAGGCTCTAGGTCTAAGTAATTAGTTCTCTCAGTACAGATAAGTAATTAATTGCACAGAGATTTTGCATACAGAAGAAGAACAGAAAATTTTCATTTATATATAACACTCCATTATCAATTGTCTGATGCTTTCTCTACTGGAATTCTTTGACTGGCATGACTGTTGGTTAAAAAAAAGTTAATGCAAGGATAACACCGACTCTTGTCTCGTTACCTTCTTCCTGAGCAAAGGGTTCTGTTGGCACTTCCTGATGAACCGGGACAGGCGGGCGTCTCTCGCGCAGCACTCCTTGAACACCTCCACGGCGTCGCGGTGACGGGAGCAAAACTCGCCTGTATTTACCAGACAATAAGGTCTATTCATTTCCAACACAATTTTTTTTTTTATCAGTCCTACCCGTCCATTATTGAACATAGGCCTCTATTACGGTTCTCCACGATAATAGGTCCCCCATCTGTTATTAAGCCCATATACATCTACAACGTAAATGCCACCACATGCCTTGAGATATGAGGTCTTAGTAAAACGGCTGCCCCACCCTTCAAACCGAAACGCGTTACTGCTTCACGGCAGAAATAGGTAGGGCAGTGGTACTTAGTACCTAGACGACTACGTTTTCATTAGTTCTGATATTATTTCTCTATGCGAATGGAAGATCTTCCACCGAGCGAGTGATATTGCTCGGTAGACCGACGCTTCGAACGTTGTTGTTCGGAACTTGTATATACGCAAGCTTATCTTGAAAATGTCTTAAGCGAGATTCGAGCATCTGTCAAATATCTTGTGTTATATAGTGGTTACCGCTACAATGCAGTAGTTGTAGGGATGTTCATTTAAAATATACATCGATGTTTTTGCGATGCATCAGTCGGAGTGGTTTCATCGATGTTTGTCGATATATGGAATTGAAACATCGATGCCCTAGCATGGCGAAGCTAACATGGTCTCTCTAGACCAGTGGTTCCCAAACTTATTTTGTCTACTGCCCACTTTGAGAATAAATTGTTTTTTAGTGCCCCCATTTTTTCTACCTACTTAAAAAACCACTATAGCGAGAGCTCAGTCTTGTGTAAGAGTCCTCCTAGATGAAATTAAAAATCGCCTCCCAAGCCTCTACACAACGCCCCCATGTTTTTCTGGGTCTCTTACCGCCCCGCATTAGGCCTACAGCGCCCACAATGGGGTGTTATCGCCCACTTTGGGAAAGACTGCTCTAGGCCATCAGCTTAGGTAGGAAAATATCGATATTCTCGTTGCATCGATGTATATCGAGCGTCCCTAGATAGGAGTGGGGTACCGTAGGCGGACTTGAGGCGCGGGCGGGAGTGCGGCGCGAAGGCGTCGGCCAGGATGTCGGCGATGGAGGGCACGGCGGGCGCGGCGCGCTGGCGGGCGCGCAGGCGGGCCAGCAGCGCCGCGTGCAGCGCCCACAGCTCGTCCACGCGCGGGAACATGCGCGCCACCTGCGCAGAGCTCACGCTGCCGAACCGCACCATGCCGTCAGCGAACATCTGCACCACACACAACGACACCCATTACATTATTTTTTTAAAGGATTTTATGACCTGGTAACTAAGACCATTAAGTCATGTCATATTTTAATTGAATATACAATTTCGAAAAGGGCACATCTGTATTGGAGTGATGTAGGCAAAATAAAAGAGAACTGTTGAAGTCGACAATTCGTGTAATACTGTCATAATTTAGTGTCTGCAGTTACAAATATAAGGTTAGGCGAGCTGCACACTACACATCTCTGAAAATGTAAAATGTTCAGGAAATGAAAAAAAACTGATTATTTTCTAAAGCAGTGTCAAATTTAAAATATTAACTTTTGAGATATATTTTAGTGTTCATTAGCAATTGGAAATTACTAGAACTATTATAAAATGGGTGTAGGTAAGCCTCAAAACTACATGTATATGAAAAAACGTATTTGACAAAATAAGCGACATGTGCCCTTTTCGAAATTGCATATTCAATTTATAGGCAAGTGAATAACACTATAATTAATACAAAAACATTTAGTTTTCGATCACAAAATTGGTATTAAAATTCAATTTAACATGATATTGTTACGGTCTACAGATCAGGACCGCTGAGGTATAATCACGTACCTTCTAAATTATCGAGAATCCTACATTCCGAAGACACCTCAATCACATGTAATAATTGGTAATGATAACTGGTAAAGCAATTTAAAAAAAAAAATAGAAAATTAACTGGTTACCTTTTGCATAAGTCGTATGGTGAGACAGTGGTGCTTCTCCGTGAGTATCAGCTCGTAAATGTGTTCTTGTCGCTTCGTCTCTCTTTCGCCGAGCGACCTGGCCAATGTTAACATTTTTGACTGCATATTTTGCTGTTTTTTTAAGGGATTTTATGACCTGGTAACTAAGCCCTTTAAGTCCTGTCTTATTTTAATTTATATGCTTACTTTTATGAAAAATGATAATATGGAGTGAAAGGAAATGAAGATCATTAATTTGAGACATTAATCAAATGGGATGAAATTAAAAGAAATGAGATATAGATAGAGAGACGATACCAAATAAAACGGAGCTTTAATTACAAAGGTTAAATATCTCGTATTAAGCGAATCAATAGACTTAGATTCTTATGAGTTCAGCCCTCATAATTTACGTTGGCTGTTCCATATCCGCCAATAGAAACAAAAGGTGTAATTCAATGATGCGAGTTAAAACACTGAATGCGAACATATTTCATACAGCGGCCCGCTCCGGCTCCGCTCGGGTCTTTAACAAAATTTTTAACGATATTTGACGTTGCTTTATTTTTTTAAATAGAACACGTATTGCGGCATAACTATAATAGTTAGACATACGCCGTCACGACACTTTTTGTAAATAATAATGTGTTCTACAAAGTCGCAGCACACGCGATGTAAAGAATATTTCAGGTATTTTTTTTACACTTTGGGTTACATTATTGGAGTTTTTAGTAAGGATCCCTGATTTTTTTCAAAAAAGATGTCACTCGGGAATAGTCTAGCTTCCAAATAGTGAAAGAATTTTTCAAATCGGTTCAGTAGTTTTGGAGCCTACTCAATACAAACAAACAAATTTTTCCTCTTTATAATATTAGTATAGACTAGCGACCCGCCCTCGCTTCGCTTCGGAAACATTAAATTTTATTACTGATAGCTGAGTCCCGCGACGTTACCCGCGGTTATTGTCGTAACGCGGGTGACGCCGCGGGGCCAAGCTAGTCTAAAAAAGTAGCCTAAGTTACTCCTTATATCATCAGCTACCTATCAGTGAATGTCTCGTCAAAATCGGTCCAGCCGTTCCAGAGATTAGCCGGAACAAACAGACAGACTGGCAAAAATTTAAAAAAAATTATTTAGGTGTATGTACCGTATATATATTCATATGCATGTAGTAAAAAGCGGTTATTTCAACATTACAAACAGACACTCCAATTTTATTTATATGTATAGATATCAAGATCTCTTTGAAAAACTTCAATTTGAGCATTAGCGAGTTCGATTTATTGATTTAGCCAGGCTGACAATATCGACGCTTGAAAGGCAAACGTGAATAAGCGACAATAATTGCTTTGTACATAAATGATAGGCAATAACCATATTCGATGCGCAAAAAAAAATATTTCTAGGTCTGTTAAAATCATTTCAATCCTACAGCTAGATTCGTTAAAATAGAATTTATTTTCCGGTATTTCAACTTTAAATTAGCCTACTGTAAAGTTCACGCATTGTCGCTTAGTCACGTTTGCCAATATATTTTTTTCCTACCTAAGCTGATAGCCTTGAGAGGCTATATCAGAGTCGCCTTAACCAGTAGGTGAGCTCACGGGCCTCAAACCTGACGACGTTGCTAAAAAATTCTCGCAGAATATACCAGCAGATCGGAAACGCGACCCACTGCGAAGATCGGGCAAGAAACTTTGTGGGCTGTGTCTGAGGGTTCACGTTTGCCTTTCAAGCGTCGATATGAAGTGTTTCGCCGGTGGTCGCGTACTTGGCGAGTCCCTTGGGAGCGCCGGCCGCCCAGGTGTCGGGCTCGCTGGCACCCAGCCCCAGCACCAGCGCCTCGTCGCCCAGCTGCTCGGGGCCCAGATACACCTCGGGCCACTCCGCGGCGCACGCGTCATCCGAAGCGCTGCCGGACCACACCACACGTAAACACTAACTACCCACATCACAAACTAATAAGTCATTGTTGATTCCTTGAAGAGTCTCTAGTGAGATAGCTGATTTATACAAAAACAGCCTTTTATTATTATTAATTCTTAATTAATATTATTACTTAGTATTAATTATAATTTAATAATGTTCGTATAATTTGCTATGAGCCAATCAACATCCAAGTCGTGAAACTGAAAATATCAAATACGGCTTTTTAATTGTAATAAATTTATTTGTTTACTTTCGACTGACTCTGCTGATCAGATGCGAATAAAAAAAAATATATTAAAATAATTTCTTTCAGAAAGCAGTCCATACATTGTGTACATAAAATCATTGAATATTACTAAAATTACCATTTAAATATCATCAATAAAAACAAATACAAAATCATACATACACATATAAACAAATAAATTGTGTGTGTGTGTTTGTGGGTGCATATGTGTGTGTGTGGGTGCGCGCGCGCGCGTGTGTGTGTGTGTGTGTGTATGTGTGTGTGTGTGTGTGTGNCTCCGCGGCGCACGCGTCGTCCGAAGCGCTGCCGGACCACACCACACGTAAACACTAACTACCCACACCACAAACTAATAAGACGTCGTTGATTCCTTGATTCCTTGAAGAGTCTCTAGTGAGATAGCTGCTTTATACAAAAACAGCCTTTATTATTATTACATCTTAGATCTCGTGCCTCTAGATTTAGATCAATTATTAAAAAAAAAACAAATCTAGCTTAAAAATGAACGCAAATATCTAGTATAAGTACTAATTTAGTATAAGTGCTATAGAAAACTATGCAATTAAATTAATATTGTTCGTATAATTTGCTATGAGCCAATTAACATCCAAGTCGTGAAACTCAAAATATCCGATACCGCTTTTTAAATTTGTTTACTTTCGATCGACTCTGATCAGATGCGAGTAAAAAAATTATATTAAAATAATTTATTTTAGAAAGCAGTCCATATATTATGTACATAAAATCATTGAATATGTATTACTAAAACTACCATTTAAATATCATCAATAAAAACAAATACAAAATCATACATACACATATAAACAAATAAATTGTGTGTGTGTGTGCGCGCGCGCGCGCGTGTGTGCGTGTGTGTGGGTGTGTGTCTATGAGCGTGAGTGTGTGCGTGAGTGTAAGTATGTGTGTGAGTGTGTGTGTGTGTACTGTGTATGAGAATTACTGATAAGGGAACAACTTACTTGCTCTGGTCGTGTTTATGATCTGAATCCTTGTCGTCGTTATAAATATGACTGGTGCTGTAAAAAAAAAAACAATATAAATCTACTATATCTACCAATGCGTAGAAAACGTTATAAATCTGGCAACATTAATACGTTCGAATTCAGAAATCACTTCGCTTAAAATTCAAACGACACTATTTGATCTCGATAATTTCAGAACGATTTGAAATCTAAGAGTTAGTTGTTTAATATTACTTTCTTCACACTTGGAGGTAACTTTTGTAATTGGCCAGACACAAAAAAGGGTGTTTCGATTTTTTTTTAAACTCGATAGACTCCATAAACGTTGGTACATAAAGTTGAATTCACTATTTTTATATTAATCTTACATTATTTTGATCTCAGCAAAGCCTAAATAATAAGAAGAAGCGAACAAGATATTAACTAATACGAACAATAAAACGACATGCAAACTTTAGAGTAAAAAATAATTATATAATAAAAAATAATTTAAAAATACAAAATGGAAAGACAATAAACAAACAATGTTTTACCGATAATGACGTCACATTGTCTATTCAAGGTACCGTACAGGTACATATAATATTATCCCTAACTCTCTTTCGGTTTCACATTTAATGTTATCTTAGATCTCTGTCTACTCTATTCCTTTTTATAGGCTGATCTACATCAGCTAAACTGAACATTTTATTTTATTTTAACATTATTAATAAATTAAAATTAAATTACACGCCACATACGGTGAAGGATCTCACAGTCCATTGGCTGTAAAATGCTAACTGATATATAAATAAATAACATTATTCTAGAATAGTTTCCTTGTTAAAAATGTTGATGTTGTTTTAATTCTGCAGGTGCACACTACAAACAATTTATTAATTTTATTGTCAAACATTCATAAACTTCTTATGTATTTCTAGAAATTTCCTTAGATAAAACATTACATCTATGCTAATATTCTCATCTTACAACACTCATTATTTCACAACCATAGTCTCCTTGAATAAACAAATAAAAAATTAAATTTCTACAATCACAGTTTCTCATTACATCAACTACCTTCAGAATAGACAGAAAGATACACAAGTAAGGCGTTGTGGATGATTCGAGAACTAGGAAGATTTGTTATCGAATGTGTGATGACATGTATGCGAATGTCTCGATAGGGTTGTGCTTAAACAATCGATATCAGATATGTCTTATTTTTATTAATTTAAAACATTTATTATGTTGCATAGTTGTAGATTTATAAAACAAAACAGATAACGTATAACAAAAAAAAAACCTTATTCAACTTTTGATTTTGTAAGGATAATAAAACATTCCACACGCCACAGAACAAAAGAACTTTACATTAGACCAAAAATATTAATTAAAAAAAATATGTATTAAGGAGATTCGAAATTCATATTTGAAAAATCGAGATGAATTAAAATGGATTAACCGCAAAACTTTTCTCAACACAATCGTGTCAATTTGAATCTTTTTTACGATATCTTTAAGGTCTGTTATGCCTTACTGCTTGTTTCGAGAAACTATTCCAATCGCAAATATAGTCTCGTAAAATATTCAGAAACTTTACTATCGTAGAGTCGTTTCACATTGAAACATCGTTCGTTACGAAGGTTATCCTAAATCGAGATCATAAACGATCAGAAGACTAAAAGTTGATGACCATAGAGAATGAATGTGTGATGTAGATAGAAAGGCAACGCGCATCATTCCCTCTGACTTACTGAACGCCGAGCTTTGTGGCGACGCGACGCCACGGCGAGTAACATCCCGACGAGGCCTTCTTGCTGCACCGCGCGAACGAATAACACACGTGTACATATATGTGTTACGTTCATAATCACTATACACTGGCGTCTCCGGTACGGGAACGGAACTATCGAGGCCTCTCGAACCGCCAACGGACGGTGTATTCACCGATTCGATTTGCACTAACCTATATCGATATTGAATAATCGATTTTTTTCGATAATCGACTATCGTATTCAACGGTCGCCTCGATAGTTCCACACTATAAGTCCGTTAAATAATCAAAAGTAACGAACCAAAAATAGCTCACGGAAAAATAACATAGCGTAGTCGAAGCAATATTGAAAATGTAAAGGAGAACCGTATGTCAGTCAGCGTTGTTACAAAGCAAACATATAATCAGTATAGTGTTGAAATGTAGGGTAAATAAAAGGTACGTAAATAAATCCTACCGTTACATACTTGTGTATCCTCTTAGGTACTTTTACAAAAAAAATAATGGCAATATTGTTTGGTTTTCAACAAAGACCCTTGTGCCGACTAAATCGGATTCATGGCAATACTTAAGATATTCATCTATAGGATGAATCGCGTATCAAAATATCGATGTTTCATAAGAAAAACATTGCCAGTTATTCGATTTAATCTTATATGTACCTCGATTATATTGCACGCAAACTAAACACAAAATGCATTAGCTTCAATATAGCGCCTCGATTTCGAGGCTGTAAAAATGGTATCCTTCGCCAGTTCCCGCAACAATAAAAAACGAAGCGTCAAAATATATTCCTATAGAATTTCGATATTTGAAGTACCCGACTACGTTGAATTGAATCGAGAAATCACAGATCATACTTTAGTGAGTTCCTTGTTAACAATTTATCGATTCGTAACAATCAAATTCAATTCTATACCGTAGTCGGATCACAATTATTAATCGATTTTTGCTGTATCGAATATCTCCGTCGTGCACTTACCTATTAGTCTGCGACTGTCCGGATACGGAGCTCCGTTTGCTGCTTTTCCCGCTGGCTGCACTCAGTGATTTACCAACAGATGTCTGCGAACGAAAATATCGATAAAATACGTTATCGATAATCTAGGGACGTAATTTTATCGATACGAAATATAAGCTAAATTTCTATTTTTTTTACATTTTCTTGTTTACAACATTAGAGCTTAAGTAATTAATAGAAATTTTAATAAAAAAAAGTCAACAATTCATAGCTCACCTTAGACGACTTAGGCTTATTGCAATCGACGATGTAATCTTTGCAAATATTTTGATGTACAGTTGTTCCACAATCTGAAAATTCGTAATTAGCTTATAATAGTTGACACAATAATATTGTACGATATCATGACTTTTTTAACTTATAAACAGAGCTTTCCGTTTTTGATAGTTCCATACGAATTAATTTAGAATTAAATATTTAAACACTTACTAAAACGTTATATATTTAATATTATAACATACATAACTCATGGTAAAGGGTTAAAATCGTGTAATGAAAATCAAATCCGTAAAAATTTTAATCGCTGTAATTAATGGTGGTAGGAAGTCACATAGGCCCGCACGGGTGCGTACCACCACACTGCGCCTATTTTCGGGTTAAAAGGCGGGCACATCTCGAAATGATTGACGGTACTTTTGTTGTTGGTATCTATGGGCTCCGGTGACCACGTCACACCAGGCGGGCCGTGAACTCGTTGACCCATCTAAACAATAAAAAACTAATCGATTAAACCTGCAACTATCGTTAGGTGTGTATAATCTACGTACCATTTTCGTTGCTGACATAAGTCCTGTCAAATGTTTGACATATAAATGTATCAAAACTATTTGGCATTTTTTTTAAATGACTTTATGATCTGGTAACTAAGACAGGTCATGTCTTAATTTAATTTATATTCTTATTTTTATGAAAAATGATATTAAGAAGGAAATGAAATGAAGATGATTAATTTGAGACATTAATCAACTGGGGTGAAATTAAATGAAATGAGTTGGGATGAAATATAATCTCAGTAAAATGGTGGTCATTTACTGAGACTTTTTCAGTTGACTTTTGGAGGATCCCGAGAAGTTACGTCCAGCGGCTCTGTTTAATTTTCCTACATTTGTGCATATTCACAGATATTAACCAGTTAATAAACCACCGCTATTACACATTTAAACCTGAAGAAACACTAAATAGACAAAATAAAACAAATCACACAACTTCACTCCTCGCGTTCCCGCCAAAAATTCCTTTGGCCCCACAGATAACAAAACATAGATTAGGCATCGTCTATCAAGCAAACGAAAACATGACATAATGCCTAAATTCTCCTGTGTGCAGGCCAAATGTTTGCATTGTAAGTGAATACGTACTGTCGCAGTAGAGGGCGGGCGTGTCGTTGAGGGGTCGCGAGCACCAGTCGCAGTGCGCGCCGCCACCCGCCTGCCACGCGTGCGCCGCCTTCCGGGACTTGTCCTGACACATGACAGTAACAAGTCAACGATCAACAGTACGCGGCCACTCGACGTCCGCAACCACCCTACAGACATCCACTGCTGGACATAGGTCTCTATGAGAGGTCAACAAAATAATAGGTTCCGTACTTTAAGTCGTCGTGGCCTAAATGATAAGACGTCCGGTGCATACGTGTTGAGAGATGCACCGGTGTTCGAATCTCAGGCGGGTACCAATTTTTCTAATGAAATACGTACTCAACAATTTTTCACGATTGACTTTCACGGTGAAGGAATAACATCGTGTAATAAAAATTAAACCCGCAAAATTATAATTTGCGTAATTATTGGTGGTAGGACCTCTTGTGAGTCCGCGCGGGTGGGTACCACCACCCTACCTATTTCTGCCGTGAAGCAGTAATGCGTTTCGGTTTGAAGGGGGGGCAGCCGATGTAACTATACTTGAGACATTTAGAATTTATATCTCAAGGCGGGTGGCGAATTTACGTTGAAGATGTCTATGGGCTCGAGTAACCACTTAACACCAGGTGGGCTGTGAGCTCGTCCACCCATTTAAGCAATAAAAAAAATAAAAAAATTGGCCGCTGCCGTATTCTATTGAAATAAATAATAGATATCGATTAAGAGAGATGTTTGTCGCTTGTCTGACATTTGGGTTCTCCTATCGTGACGATGAAAATTAAACTTAGACTTCAAGATACTAAATATTAGTTCTGCTTGCAACGAAACATGAATGTCAAGAAATATAAAACTTTTTTTATTGAAAATTTGACGGTATTTAGCATAACACTCAAATGTCGACAAACGACACCTTACACGTTACCCCATAGACACACAGCCCTTTGAGTTTCTCGCCGGCTTTTCTCGGTGGGTCGCGATTTCGATCCGGTTCCAGATTCAGAGAAGCCCTACTCTTGCTAGGGCCAGTATTAACAAGTTCTTCCAAGTTGAGCCCCATAAGCTCACCTACCAGACTGCGTGTAATTGGAATAGCCACAAAGGTACCATCGATTTGGTAGGGAAAAAATGTTTCGTGTTTAATAAAGTAGTAAACAACTGCGCATGGATTCGACAAGTACCTTCTTCTTCCTGAAGAACAAGCTTCCACGTTTTCGCCTTTTCTCAGCGTGATGGTCAAAAGCAGCTCTGCAATCAAAATAACTTATCATTTATTTCAAATTCTTACAAAAATAAAAATTAATCTTGAACTTCCGTGTAAGAATTATTAAATTATCTAAAAAAATCTCAATGAGTGATACAAAACGAACACGTGAAGCAAAGCTGTGCTTTAAGCATGCCAAAATATAAAATAAGAAGCTTAAAGTAAAACTTAAAACAAAAATCAGTTATATTAACACTACACCGAAGATCCGTCGACAAAGTGGTTTAGAAAAAAACTTTATAAATAAATAAATAAATAGCACTTTACTTTAAACTCCTTAGGCAATATTAATTTATTATTGTATTTATTTGATTTCGAAATATTAATAGAGGTATTTTTATATTTTTAGCATGTCTATTATGAAAATATTCAAAATCGTGTAAAAAAACTTCAGTTCGAAAAAAATCGATTTTATAATCAAAATCGAATCGAAACTCTAATATCTCGGTATCGAAAAGTACAGTACTTTCTTTACTATAACTAACTTCGATCAAATCTGAAGTTGAGCATTTCTTCAGCTTTAGTCTTTATGTCCTTTAACATAAAACTCACTGTTCCAAGAAAGCCAGTCGATGTAATCCCAAATGTTCCTGATGCGTATTGTTCCTGCGGCCGGGCAGTTGTGCCGTGGCCCCGACAGTCGCGGCGGAAGCGTCTTCGTCGCTTTCCGTCTCGCTCTCACCGGCGCCAGACAAGCTAACATCGAGCGAGACACGTACACTCGTGGAACTATCGTGTTTCGGGTTGACATATCGATTTTTTTTTTATTTTTACTCCCAATCATATTACGGTTACCTTACGTAACAAAATTCAAGGGTTGACCGAGAATAGTTTGTCCTTTATGTTCAAGTGCTCTTAAAGGCTTTCATTGAAACTATTTACTTAGGCCGAGGCCGCACTACGGTTTTTTCCCGGGAGCGGTTAACTGCTGTAACCGCGAAACCGCTTAAGACGCACACACTACAATTATTAACCGCGAATGCGCCCGCGATTTTCACAGTTTGAAGATGGATAAATTTCAAAAGAGCAGTAGCAGTGTGGCTCTGGTATTAAGAAATAGATAAAAAGACAACGAAAATTTCACAAATGTTGGGTCTATCCACTTACTAGCCGTAGATTTGAGAAAAAATTCTTTCATGAGAAATATCAAAATTTAAGAAAACCCCTAGAGAATTTTTTCAATTACTATCGGATGTCAGTAGCCAGTTTCATGGAAACAAAATTTCGCAAATGTATTTAGCATTTCAAAAAACCGCCCGCGGTTACGCATAGTGCGTGCACGGATACCTAGTCCTATGGATTACAAATTTTGTTGCGGTTTTTTCCGCGACAATTTTGTAACATTTCGCGGTTTTAAAATCAGTCGCGGAAAAAAACCGCAAGTGCGGCCGCTTGTATTCGTTTTCGTGTTTCATAAACTTACACGGTTAATAACCGCTGCGGTTTCAGCGTAGTGCGGCCTAGGCCTTAGGAACATTTTTCGATTTTTTTAAATATCTCTGCTTTTGACTTGATATAACCCTTTGTAGAACACCCTGTATACATTTAGAACACGTTTTGTTCGTCCACGATAGTTCCACGATATTAGTGCAAATAAAAATAAGAAAACAAAACAATTTTGCAATAGCACATATCGATTTACAGTGTTGATATTAAAATCGATGTGTCCGGAGTGAAGCAAAAAACAAAAAAAACAGTGCGAATAAAAACATTGACTTAAACATGCAAATTTTAACAGGGCTACTTTCAGTATATTCATCATAGTATTATATAAATCACAAAGTATATATGTATAATTATACCTTTTTTTTTATATATAAGTTCATTTCTTTTTTGTTCTAAAAACAATTTGTGTTTACTTATATACTCATAGTAAATCCCTTAAACATAAATCATGCATTTCTGGGACACGTGCTGTGGTCTCCCTACTACTTTTTTTTTATTGGCCTTGTAGGCAGACGAGCATACGGCCCACCTGATGGTGAGTGGTTACCGTCGCCCATGGACTTCAGCAATGCCAGGGGCAGAGCTAAGCCGCTGCCTACCGTTTAATACTCTCCACAAGCCTCGTTTGAAGAAGGACATGTCATAGCGCTCGGGAAACACCGTGGAGGAGAGCTCATTCCAAAGCCGGATGGTACGTGGCACAAAAGATCTCTGGAAACGCACTGTGGATGACCGCAGTGGCTCCAGGTAGTATGGATAAACTCTACTCCGGTGGCGGGCGGTGCGATGGTAAAAACGAGATGATGGAATCATCTCAAATAATTCCTCAGAGCTGCCGCAAACCACTCATCCGCTCCGGTTCACTTATACAAATGTGACTTCAATCTTGCTTTAGTAACCCCTTAACTTATAGATAAGCCATATTTATGTACCGAATTTAATTTTCAATTTATATAATTATAATTCGAATTGACATAGAACCTTCATGGTTTGAAATCTGTGAGTGAAACTTTTCTCAAAAGGTACCTATGAGGTTCTTCTTTTAAAAAATGTGCAACATCCGATTATCGACTTCCAGTTTTTTTTTTTTAATTCAGCTTAGACAAGAAAGACGTATACTTTGAAAATTCGAGGGAGAGAAACAGCTCGCAATATCAATGTTGCGTTTGGAGAGGGGACTGCTAATGAACGCACCGTGCGATTTTGGTTTAAATTAATTTTGATAATATGTATTATAATTTATTTTTTTATTGCTCAGATTGGTGGTCGAGCTCTTATTCGTCGTCTTTTATTTATCGATTGAGGCACTACGAAGTCTGCCGGGTCAGCTAGTAAATTAATAAATAATTTAATTTTGGTTTAATTTAGTACGTACATGTTGAGGGGGGGTGTGGGTTGCGGCGGCTGCACGGCGGCCACGATGCTGGGGGTCGAGACGGACTTCTGCAGCGGTAACCTAGCGACCAGCCTACTCGGATCCGCTCCCGCGCCCGCGCCCGCCCCCGCCCCCGCTCGCAACGCGGCCGTCACCTTCTCGAAGTCCTTCTGAATATCAAATGTATATTTGTGACGTGGTTTCTTTTTTAAAGGAGTTTTATGACCTGGTAACTAAGATCATTAGGTCATATCTTATTTTAATTTATTTTCTAATTTTTAAGAAAAATGATAATATGGAATGAAATGAAATGAAGATGATTAATTTGAGACACTAATCAACTAGGATGAAATTAAATGAAATGAGATGAGATGATATGATATGGGATGAAATATAATTTCAGTAAAATGGTGGTCATTTACTAAGATTTTTTCAGTGGACTTTTTGGAGGATCCCGACAAAATTACGTCCAGTGGCTTTATTTCATTTTCCCACATTTGTGCACTTTCACAGATATTAAACAATTAATAAACCACCATTATTACACATTTAAACCTGAACAAACACTATATAGACAAAATAAAAACTTCAGAGGTGTCAAGAGACACCCGGATGGAACGAAGTTCCTTTCGATTAATTAGTGAAGGAATTGTAATTTTTTTTTAAGTTATAATAATAAATTACGGCATTATGAAGAAGAAAAAAACAATACTATGAACTAAATTACTATTGTTGAAACGCTATCTCGAAAAACTGTACTCATTACGCGGACCAATCGGATACGAGCAATGTCACGCGATAAGCGCCTACACGTTGATTGGTCAGAATGACGGATCTAAAAAGTGTCGTGACANAGAAAAAAACAATACTATGAACTAAATTACTATTGTTGAAACGCTATCTCGAAAAACTGTACTCATTACGCGGACCAATCGGATACGAGCAATGTCACGCGATAAGCGCCTACACGTTGATTGGTCAGAATGACGGATCTAAAAAGTGTCGTGACAACTTTTCGTAAGAATTTTTTCCGTCTAGCCCCCTTTCACAACGCGCGATAAGGAACTTCGTTCCAAAACAAATCACACAACTTCACTCCTCGCGTTCCCGCCAAAAGGTCGTGTGACGTAGTGCAGTTGCATTTTACAACGAACTATACCAATACTAATTCGCGCTTACCGCAAGGTCATTGTCGTTCAGCGAGTGGGTGGAGTGTCGGACCGGCCGCGGCACCTCGCCCTCGGACTCCATCGAAGACAGGGACGCGCTGTGCCCGTTCAGGTTACTGGAAACATTTGTGTCATATAAAAAACTAGCGACCCGCCCTCGCTTCGCTTCGGAAACTGTAATTTATTATTGGTTTCTCTACTATTTAATGGATGTTATATACATATAAACCTTCCTCTTCAATCACTCTATCTATTAAAAAACAGCATCAAAATCCGTTGCGTAGTTTTAAAGATTTATGCATACACAGGGATAAAGGGACAGAGAAAGCGACTTTGTTTTATACTATGTAGCTACGAATAAATATTATGCTATGTAGTGATAATAATCATATGTCAGATGAAATCGAACATTTTTTTTCAATTGTTTAAAAGCAATTTCCTAAAAGTCGTCGTGCCCTAAAGGATAAGACGTCCGGTGCATTCGTATCTAGCGATGCACCGGTGTCCGAATCCCGCAGGCGGGTATTTTTCTAATGAAATACGTACTTAAGACGTGTTCACGATTGACTTTCACGGTGAAGGAATAACATCGTGTAATAAAAATCAAATCTGCAAAATTATAATTTGTGTAATTGATGGTGGTAGGACCTCTTGTGAGTCCGCACGGGTAGGTACCACCGCCCAGCCTATTTCAGCCGTAAAACAGTAATGCGTTTCGGTTTGAAGGGTGGGGCAGCCGTTGCAACTATACTGACCTTAGAACTTATATCTCAAGATGGGTGGCGCATTTACGTTGTATGTACGTCTATGGGCTCCAGTTACCACAACACCAGGTGGGCTATGAGCTCGTCCACTCATCTATGCAATAAAAAATCTGGCACGATGCTTGGCAGCAAGTAAAGCATATTGTCTTACCCCTCCCCTACTTATCTCTACCTCATGTCGCTATATCAATTTATCTACAAAATAATCCACGGTATTTCCCGAGCGCTATTACATCTATCAAACGATGTTTGTGGAGATTACTTAATGGTAGATAGCGGCTTAGTTTTGCCCCTAGCATTACTGACGTCCATGGGCGACGGTAACCACTCACCATCAGGTGGGCTATATGCTTCTCTGCCTACTAGGGCAATAAAACAAATGAATTCCCAGACGAGGTACCGATTTACCTAAATTAACACGTAAGGTTACACAGCATACCCTATACATAGGCGCTCGTGTATTCCTCTCCCGTCTTCAAAATCTAGATACAACAGATAGCGTTGGTTTCAAAATAATATGAATTGAATTGAACGACTAAGAATTACTATCTTAATAGTGCTATAAACTAAAAATCGTATAATAACGCCTAATTACTGTTGGCTTTGTGAGGCCCTACGGATGGGCACCACCTTCTTGTTTATTTCTGCTGCGAAACAATCTTGGAACTGGTTTTAAGGGTGAAACCATTGTTACAATGGAACTTGATTAAATCTCGCGCGGTTCCAAAGTGGGTAGGGTTGGGTCGTTATACCTGCGTTGTCTGTGCGCGTCGTGTCGTGCGTCGTGTCGCGTGTCGTGTCGTGCGCCCGGCTCAAGCGCGGCCCACGAGCTGCGGCGTCCCTCATCGCGCCTCTCCCACAGACCCCACTGACGCGATTCACCTGCGAGCCACATTTGTTTTCCCTACCTATGCTGATAGCCTTGAGAGGATATTTTAGCTTCTCCTTGACGTGTAGGTGAGCTCACGGGGCTCAAACCGGAGAATTCTGGCCCTAGCAAGAGCAGTGCTTCGCAGAATCTACCACCGGATCGGAAACGCGACCCACTGAGAAGATCCGGCGAGAAACTCAGTGGGCTGTGTCTGTGGTTTAATTCACTCGTCGAGCCCTTCGTCGCGACGGGTTCAGCGAAGACTGGGACCGGAGCTTGTTGCTTGAGGTACCCAAAAGCACCGTTAATGGATCGGGAGGATCCGTAATGACGTGTTTGAGGCCACGTCGACTGTTTACCATTCGGTGCACAGGATCGGGTATGCGCAAGCTACAAACCATACCTCGACATTAAGAGCGTATGCCCACTGAGTTTCGCGCCGGATCTTATCAGTGGGTCGCGTTTCCGATCCGGTAGTAGACTCAGCGAAGCACTGCTCTTGTTAGGGCTAGTGTTAGCAACACCTCCGGTTTGAGCCCCGAGAGCTCACTTACACGCTAGGGTAACGCTGATATAGCCTCTGAAGGCTATGAGCATAGGTAGGGGAAAAAAGAGGGTACATAGCACCAGGTTTGACTTTGCAAAAGTCTCTTTCATACAAATTCGAATGTAGTTTCTGTAGGAATACTTAAAGAGGCATAACTAAAAACATTTAAATACCCTTTTTTATTTATGTTTGTCAATACTGTAGGTATTGTCAAGCAAAAAGTACCTTCTAGCTCTTGTGTTAAAATTTAAACAAACAAAACAGAAAAACTTATCAATTGATCTTAATGCTTCAAAGATTGTTGCCGAATTTCGAACACTCCAAAATGGCTTGTTCAAATATTTACCGCAAGAAATATATATACACAGTTGGCGTTATCATCCTAATTTATTATTCTGATCAATTTAAAATTGAAAATACCGTGCCGCCTTTTTATGGTAGGCAGCGGCTTGGCTCTACCTCTGGCATTGCTGAAGTTCATGGGCGTCGGTAACCACTCACCATCAGGTGGGCCGTACGCTCGTCTGCCTACAAGTGAAATAAAAAAAAACACGTGTGGCACTCGGGGACTGCCGCGGTAAGGTTATTGCATAGCATTTTTTATCAAATACCCCTTCATACTCATAAGCGAGACTGCGCGAGAGAGAGATGGACAGAATTTTCATGATGCGCATGCAGTGCGACGTCACGCCGTGCGGTTATTCACAAAGACTACACAAGCGCAACGTGTGAATGTTTTGAGCGCGAGCTACATGGTAGGCGGAGTAGGGGTGTTAGGTTTTATTTTCGTTACGGAATTTCTTGATTCGGTCGCCGCGCTCAAAGCTGTGCAATAGCTTAAAAAGCCTATCGTAAAGCACTCGTTAGTTTCGATTCGAAGAGTGGGAGAGCCGTCATACTTCGACCTCAACATGGCTGATCGTTTTAAAAAAATAATTAACACTATACTCACCGCTGCCCTTACGGCTCTGCGAGTAGAATTCCAGATTCGTCGGCGACGAGCATTCCGGTTCGATAACCCCGTCCTTGCAGAGCGAGGGGCATGATGTGCTTAGTCTACTCGTGCCGGTTGCCTGAATGCAATAGATTGGTTTTATTTGTAAACAGAAACAATAAATAATACGTTTGTTCGACGGCTCATCACGAATAATGGTGATTGAAAACACGATGCTCAAACCTGAAAGAGTTCTCTGGAATGATAAGGATATATCAGAACTCCAAGATATCCTGATCATCTTGGGATTCGTGTTTTCCAGAGTCTACTAGATATTCCGGCGCCTTAATAAAAATCGATGAGAGAAATCGATATAATTACTTCAGTGCGCCGCGTAGGGTACCGGTGACCTACACGGCAGTCAACGTAGTTAAACAGTCCTTGGGACGACTTATTCCTATATCCTTGGCATTGCCAATGTCCGCTATAACCAGATACCGAGTGCGCTAAACAATCCTTTTCGTGGACAGCAACTTGCCTGTACCATTAGCATTGCCATCCTCCGCTATAACTAGATACCGAGTGCGCGAAACAATCCTTTTGGTGAACAGCAATTTGCCTGTGCACTTGGCATTGCTGATGTCCGCTATAACCAGATACCGAGGGCGCTAAATAATCCTTTTCGTGGACAGCAACTTGCCTGTACCATTAGCATTGCCATCCTCCGCTATAACCAGATACCGAGTGCGCGAAACAATCCTTTTGGTGGACAGCAACTTGCCTGTGCACTTGGCATTGCTAATGTCCGCTATAACCAGATACCGAGGGCGCTAAATAATCTTTTTCGTGGACAGCAACTTGCATGTACCATTAGCATTGCCATCCTCCGCTATAACCAGATACCGGGTGCACTAATCAATCCTTTTGGTGGACAGCAACTGGCCTTTGCCCTTGGCATTGCCAACGCCCACTATAACCAGTTACCAGACCCGCTATCTACTCGACTGCGATTGGGGACCATAAAACTAAATAAAAAATTTACCAATAAAGGCAGTGGAGCAGCTCGCATCCGTTGCACGGCAGCATGGAGGCGTCTTAGCTGTTGTAAGCTGTCTTCCAGTACTCCCGGGCTGTGCGGGGTCACGCTTATGGTTGGCACCTGTAAGGCGATTAAAGCTGAGTTAAGCTAATTTGTTTGGTGCAGCTGTGGAATTCTTATTTTTCTGGATGAGGTTTTTTTTCCCCTGCCTATGCTGATAGCCTTGAGAGCCTATATCAGAGTTACCCTAGCGTGTAGGTGAGCTCTCGGGGCTCAAAGCAGGAGGTGTTGCGGAGGAGGATAAGGATTCTTGAATCAACAAATGCTCCCCCTATGCCAAGGCAAGGGATGTCTGATCTACGTGGATCTATATTTTTTCACAATGTTGTCTATTATTTTGTGGAAAAAAAACATATTTTCTGTTAGCTTCGCTGCTGAAAGCGCCTAAAGGGTCTCATTTATTGGGCAATTTTGGTCCTCATAATGAGACTATGCTGGAGGTAAAATCCTTACATAGTAGATATCAACTTTGATACATTATATTCCACTATCCAGGCGATTTGATTGTAATGCACTACAGGCTGCATTGAGAAGTGCTCCGACTTTAAGCTGCTTTAAAATAATGATGAATGAACATCTGCTCGATATTGTTTGTTTGTACAACCTTTACCATTACCATACTGTTGTTGATTTATTATGTGTATGTAAGTATATTGGTATGTAAATCATATAGTGATTTCATATTATACATGTATATTGTAGATACATACTTATTGCATATAATATGTATTTTGTTCATTATTCCATAATGTACGTCAAGGTTTGGTCTATTTTGATATAACCATTATTATTAATAGTAAACAGCAACATACCTGCTGAACAGAAGTTTTACAGAATTTCTGTAGGTAAAACGTTGTTTGGAAGAGATCGCTTTTAGCTATAAGACCGCCTATTGTACAATTATACCAGCCTGTTGACTGTTTTTGAATGTCAATTGTGTTTTGGTGTGTAACAAAGTATATTCCCCCCGGTTTTTGTTTTATGTTTGAAGGATTACTGGTGGCCTGGAGACCTTTCCAGTTTCACCAGGACAGGTGGGCGAGCACAGGCTCAGCCAGGAGGGGCGGGATTTGCTAACAGCTGCCCGAACGCCTCCGAAGGAGACCTAACAACTTAAGAGAAGCTACTTCGCGAATGAATCTACTACCGGATCAGAATCGCGACTCGCTGAGAAGATCCGGCAAGAAACTCAGCGAGCTGATGCATGGGTTGAGTTGCACGTCGAACTCTTTGTCGAGTTCGACGAGTACGGTTACCGGGGTCCCTAAGCCTGCTCCTAGTGTTAGAGCTGAAGGCGTCTACAGCAAAGGTTATTGGATCTGAGGGATCCGTAAGGACGTGGATTCTCTCCCGTCTACCATAGACAACTCCTAAGTTAACGCGTACTTAACTCATACTAACAGGTTTGTTCGGCAAAAACAATAGTTTTTAAAGTTAGTGGCACAATGGGCTCACCTGTGCTCTGGCGGCAGCCATGTTCGGCGGTGGTGTGGATCTCGTCACGTGCTCGGTGACCTCGTCTTCGCTGCTGTCGGAACGAGTGTCCGAACTGCCACCCACCTCGTCTGTGAATACACATTAAGCCAAATGATAATAGGAAACTAGAATATTAAAAATATATAATTTTCTTAGAACTCTGACTAGGTTTACTTTTTTTATTTATTGCTTAGATGGGCGGACGTGCTCACAGCCCACCTGGTGTTACGCGGTTACTGGATCATTATCAATCTATACTAATATTATAAAGAGGAAATATTTGTTTGTTTGTTTGTATTGAATAGGCTCCGAAACTATTGAACCGATTTTAAAAATTCTTTCACTGTTTGGAAGCTACACTTATCCCGTGTAACATAGGCTATATTCTTTTTTTTTATTAGGGATCCTTACTTAACACTAATCATACCAACACTTACTGGTACCTATTTCTACCATAGCGGGTAGATAACGGTATACGACTAGTTGCTTCATAAAGTCATATTATTGAGATAGAAACAAATTAAAGATCGTCACCTAAGCCACTGTTTCTGTCTGTCAGTTTTATAGACTATAATACATAAATATGATGAATGAAATCCTTTAAAGCCAAATTATATACATTTTATTTACAGTAAAGGTACAAAAGAAAGAAAAAAGAATATCGAACATTTTCCGCAATTACATCTGAACCGAACCTGCTTGAAAACTTTTAAGGTATCCCCTCTGCGTTTGAACCTCGTAAGATGTTTCATCGCAGTATTGAAACCAAAATGAAAAGTTATTACCGAACTTTAACCATACCGTTTGACGTTTATCTTAAGACTTCTAAAATAATAACATTTTCCTCTCTCGATAACATCCGAAATATGTTGAGTATTTTACTTACTATGCGTTCCCGACGTAGTAAAGTGAAGGTTATTACAGGAATTTTGAAGTTAATCCATTTCAACAACGGCTACCTATATCAGTATTGCAAAGGTTTTAGTTAGTAAAATAAGCACCTACAATTAATTGAACAGCGTTGGAATATGGGAAAAGTAAGGTGTATACTGTATTTTTAAATGTAAAAAGGAATTTCGGATATAGCTTGAAAAAAATTCGATACTAAATCTAAGATTATTTTTTTATTTAATGTAATTTAATCGGAAATACCATTTGGCAGAGTTGACACCAAAATTAGCTGGTGTGCCGTCAGAGCGTCCAAAACATATATATGCGTCTGGCTTTGCACACCTTTGCTTGTAATTTTAATAGCAAAATAAAAAATAGAGGTTGAACCCGTTGGCCTTTTTTTAGGATTAAAATATTACTGGTGGATCGGAGGCATTTCCAGTTTCAACAGGACAGGTAGACGAGCAAACACTCAGCCAGGAGGGGTGGTATTTGCTTACAGCTGCCCGAGCGCCTCCGAAGGAGACCTAACAACTCCAGAACAGCTGCTTCGCGAATGAATCTACTACCGGATTGGAATCGTGACCCGCAGAGAAGATGCTGCGAGAAACTCAGCGAGCTGATTCATGGGTTAGATCAAGGATCAGAGTGTGGAGCAAAATAACCCAAGGTTGGACGAGACTTCAATTGAGCACCGATCCTAAATGATAGTAAAATAATCGAGCATCTAATCCCGAAATAACCCAATCATCAAGCATAGCGTGCGATTTCGAAAATTACATAATAAAAATCCAATATTTTTTTCTATGAAACAATTGTTTCCTTGTAAATCCATCTTAATTTCCTATTAGATATCCAGTCCGGACGGAGAGAAGTGAAGTGAGTTAACGGAACCGGAAATTGGTTTTCAAACCAACGTTCATATCTAGAGACACAAGCACGGCCTTACTTGCCGATAAAATATTGTGACAGTTTTTTTTTTAAATATATTACTTAGTCCTTTTAATTAAAAACACATTTACGATTCTCACTGGTGGTAGGACCTCTTGTGAGTCCGCACGGGTAGGTACTACCACCCCGCCTATTTCGGCCGTGAAGCAGTAATGCGTTTCGGTTTGAAGGGTGGGGCAGCCGTTGTAACTATACTGAGACCTTAGAACTTATATCTCAAGGTGGGTGGCGCATTTACATTGTAGATGTCTATGGGCTCCAGTAACCACTTAACACCAGGTGGGCTGTGAGCTCGTCCACTCATCTAAGCAATAAATAAAAAAAAATCAACTCGAGATTTATCATGTTCGTTTTGGAGTTGCGCTCCAATCACACCTATTTCACTGGCTGGTCCGACACAGGTAGACTCTTCTTTTTCTCCACCTTATCCTACTAGGTGGGGTCGGCATAGCTAATTTTTCCTTTCCATTCTCTTCTATAAGCCGTCATCTCAACACTCACTCCTCTCTCTCTCTCATATCGTCATTCACACACTCCATCCATGTCTTCTTCCGTCGACTTCGACGGCCGACGACCGTCCGGGCTAGTATGCTCACAGGGCTCAAACCTGATGATTTCTAACAGGAACCCTAGCAAGAGCCGTGCTTTGCAGAATCTACCACCGGATCGGAAACGCGACCCACTCAGAAGATCCGTCGAGAAACTCAGTGAGCTGTGTCTCTGGGTTAGTTTGCTCGTCGAGCCCTTCGTCGCAAGCGACGGGTTCGACGAGAACATTGACCGATGCTTGAAGTACCTAAAAGCACCGTTAGTGGTTCGGGAGGATCCGAGATGACGTGTTTTGGGTGACGTCGACTGTTTACCATTTGGTCCGCAGGATCGGCTATGTAGTTACCGGCAGTCACCATGAGCGGGTTCTCGTGTCGTGCCGCTTTATCGAAATGGTTCGATCGACCTCTTCCCCCTCTACAATACAAGACTAATACAAAATTTACTCATTCTTTCCCTACTTATGCCCCTTATTTCCTGCTCATCTCTTACAATCATAACGAAACAAATCATTTGTCTGTTTGACATCAAAGACTAAACATACTTTACAGTTCTAAAAAAAAAATAACAAGAGCAGTGTAATATCTTAAACGACAACGTAATAAACCCCGGGCTCATCCATTATGATCCCTGTTCAAGTACACAACATTACGCGGCACTCAAAATGCATATTCGCAATTGCTCGCACGACCTACTTTTCACATCGCAGGTCAAGGCTCGTACAACGCAACCCTGCAACCGATCTGAAATGATCTCTATCTAGATCTGACATTACAGAAATTTCCTTGGTCTTTGCAGGTCATGTGGAATTGGTTAGGCGGTCTAAATAGGACGTGGAGCGAATTTTAGCGAATAGCGGTGCACGCAAGAAGGGGTGACGCTAGGGAGATATTTATAGATGTCCTATTATTGCCTGACACTGTTAAATTTCCATTAAAACCAGATATTTTTTTCTAGTTAAAAAAAAAATTCGGTTGTCTGTAAAGTCGGTTTACTGACGATAGTTGACGTGACAACGTCATAAGAAAATACTGATGGAATGGTTTAATTTTTCAATTATCGCAATTATCGTTGCTATAAACAATTGACACCACATTCACTTTTCACTGAACTTCATACTTGACGAAGACATGTAAATGTATTATTGTATAGCAGCTGTCCACGCGGATGCATCGCTCACTCAAGTAGGAGAGAGACAGTTGTCGAACGCTGCCGAACGCGGAGGCCGATTGTGCCTCTTTGTCGCTCGTTGCGCGCTCTCTATTGCACTTCAAGCTTTAAATGGAACACCTCAGAGCGAGGTAACGCCGCGTGAGTCATGTTTTTCCGTGCGTGCAGCCGGCTCCATCGAATTATAAGACGTTGTCACGTCAAAAAGATTTTAACCGCGATGCGATTTCAAGCTGAACCTTTATAAAGTATATTTTTCTTTACCAGAATGCAAAAGACCCGAAGTCTTAATGGTATTTAGGGCGCCTCGTAAGCCGAAGTCATTGTTTCGGGATTAAGCACGTACCATTTCTTTTATCACGAGTCGCACGTAACGTGAATTAACGAGTACTCAACGAAGACTTTTAAATGTACCTATTAAAAATGTTAAAAGCATGACTAACGGCTTTAGGCATGTCTAACTGAAGGATTAGTTAAAGTAACATGAGATAAAAAGGACATTAACTGTTAAATCATCGTTCATAATCAATATGCTAATTAAAATAAAGTGCGACATAACTTAGTAGGTGCAACTTAGGCTTCGACGATGATTGCTTAAGGAGCAGAGAGCTTAAGTATACGTTGAAATAAACACATTCATTTGTTTACTATTTACAGTTTGGTATTTGCACTTTTAGTACAGAATAAACTCTTTTTTTTTCTTTCGCTTAGATGGGTGGACGAGCTCACGGTCCACCTGGTGTTAAGTAGTTACCGGAGCCAATAGACATCTACAACGTAAATGCCGCTACCCACCGTGACCCAACTTGAGATATGTATTTTGAGATTATTAGCTTAAAATATGTAATATAAATACAGTATCGAAATTTTACATTGCCATTTTTCCCCCTACCTATGCTGATAAGAGAGGCTATTTCAGCTTCACCCTAGCGTGTAGATGAGCTCTCGGGGCTCAAACCGGAAGTGTTGCTAACGCTGGCCCTAGCAAGAGCAGTGCTTCGCAGAATCTACCACCAGATCGGAAACGCAACCCACTGAGAAGATCCAACGAGAAACTGTGGGCTCACATGAAATGTTAACGGGTATTACCTATGAAAATAAATAAACTATTAAGAACATAACGTAACCCAGCATAGGTAGAAAAAAAAATTTACTCCTTGGTATAAATGTCTTCATACCGTCAAGGAACTAGGAGCCGCCTGCGCTTAGTTTAATTTCTCAATAAAATTACGATAAGGAACTAGCCATGAACCTAAGTTCGAAGTTTTGACCTGGATCACCGGTCTGAGATTAAGCCGAAAATTTATTTTTACCGTCGTGAAAATACGATGTTAAACTTCACCACAATCGATTCGCGACGGAACAAAAATTTTGTAGCAACAAACATACGTTGAAGAGCCCAGTCGGTTGTAGAATCTGAGCATTTGTAATCTTGTGGGAAAGTAAACATGATATCAGATAATCAGGCGATGCCATATAAAATATATTTTCTTCGGAATCGCTTAACAACAATCGGAATGTGAATATT